CAGGCAACAATTGCAGGCAGTTGTTGCTGTTGACGATGATTGTTATTATAGTGGTTGTTGTTTTGCGGTTTGTTGTGGCTGAATTTATGAGATACATTTGCAGAGTTGCCGAGTTGCACTAATGGCCATAAATAGTCGGGCACAAAAATAATCCGAATAATCAGACTGGCTTTGCATAGGTTAATGAGCCATTTACCTCCCCCCCCTGATTTAGTTAAAAAACATTTTGTGAGCGTTTACTAACTTTGCATATGATGCTGTTTAGCTGTTGTGCTGTTTTTGTTGCCTCGCCGCCGTTAATTGAAATGAAATGTTCATTTACCGAAATTTTAATGGCAACTGAAGCACGTGTAAGGGCAGTTGGCAAAACGATAATTGCCAAAAAACGTAGCTGGCGAATCTAAAACACTTTTACCGGTTAGCCCCGAATGGCTGTTCTGTGCGATATTATATTTGTAATTCAATTTAAGCTGAATTTCTTTGCTACGAGCGAAATGTATCCGGCAGATACACGCCAAACACGCCAGGGGATGGTGCTGAAACAAATTTCATTTGGCATCAAAAAACGGAAAATCAACTTAGGCGACATATTGAGAAATCATTTTGCTATCAATCGTGGTGGTGTGAAGCGAGGAAATCCAAGAAAATCGAGAGGCAACAGAAGTTGCCGCACACGTACGCAAATAAAAGGATGTGAGTCGAATTAAAATTGCTGGCACACAGAAGCCAAAGCTACAGGAACACAAAGAAAAAAAGTTTAGACAAAAACTATGCTTTTTTTTTATGATTTATGATTTTATTAAATGATTTCATATTCTTTAAGTAAAAGGAACATAACATATTTTAGCCACTGTGTGTTGAACTCGGTATCGTAGATTCCCTCAACCATATTAACAACGATAGCGAAAAACCCTTTTAAGTTTTTTAAGTCAAATGAAGACACAAATCGATCTTTCTTTGACATACATTTCCATGTTTAACGGTTCGAAAGGTTTAATACCTTTGTATAATCCGCAAATGGTTCATTTCCGTGATTTATCATCGTAATCAGCTTCTTTTTTTGGCCGGTGTAAGGTGTGCGGTGTATGTATAGACATACAGCTAAAGATACAGATACGAGATACTCGTACCGATGCGAAGATACATATGCTGCGAGATACTCGATGCTCGACGCTCAACACTTCACGCAAGATACTTAAGTTCATTTGCGCCACTTTGCGTCTGCCCGTGCATTTTAAATGCGTTCGTGTTTCGACTTTTGGTTTTCGGTTTTTGGTCTTTGGCTTTGGCTTTGTTTCCCAAAACATCAGTGGAAATACAAATGTGGCTCCATCGAACGGATATTTGTGCCACTTGGAGCGGCTTTCATTTAGATTCATTCTAATTCACTTCACTCCCATTCCACTCCATTTCATTTCGGTAAATTTGCCATGTTTTCTTTCTGTTTCTCCCAGCCAATTCTGGCCATTAGCGGGGGCTACATAAATAGTTTAGTGTTTGGGAGTTCATTGAATTCCCCGATTTGCATTTAATGCCAATGCTGATGATGCTGTTGCTGAGGCCGCTGATGATTCACTCATCCGTTGACCTGACTTTGCACCTGGCATCGCACCTATAAATAGCTACTATGAACAATTTTGAAGTTTATCTTCATCTCATCTCATCTCGCATGCATAAATCAATTAGCGGGCCGGCGAAAATCCAAACGAGTTATGATCGTAGCTGGAATGTGACAGCATTTATAGATATTACGTGTGTCCGCTAAGGTTTTCGCTGATCCAGGAGTACCTTGTCAATATATTTCCCTGTCATACATAAATTATCTAACCAACCGCAGACTATCAATGTTTTTTATAGTTTTATTTTCGAGTTGAAAGATTCTCTAATGAGCCGCGTAAGCACTTAGTGGTTCTGAGTTATCGTCAATTGTTTTTACATAGGTCTTTGTTTAATATTTATAGCTGCTAATTGCAGTCGAATATATCCAAGAGGTAAATACACCTTTATAGTGTTTTCTATTATTTTCTCGGTGTCCTTGGAGTCGATAATGCATCACCGCCATATTCAAGAACTATAAAGCTGAATAGCTCATAAATATTGCGGGTATGCTTTATGTTCTGTATGTATATTTAAATCATATTTTACGGATGTACATTTTTTATCACGTCAACTTGCAATATTTCCGCCTAAAAACCATTGGACAATGTTTGTTTAAAAGAGTTATATCTTAATAATATCTTATTAGATCTCCGGAAAAGTGTTTCGCTCTTCTTTAGATTTATTATTCAGATGGTAAATAATAGATTAAAGGATTTTGGGAATCGTTTTCGTCACAAATTTATCTCTCTGATTTCCCTTGAATTCTGGCAGATTAGTTGGCTCTTTGCCAGAGTCACTCACTTAATCTTCGGCACATTTCCGTTCGTTCCACTCGGGATTACGGATCAATGAACCACAGATCAATGCTCGCCATCTAAGGCCAATCCACCGGAGGTATCCATTGGCTTAATTGCTGGGGTTCGGGTTCGGGTTCTGGTTGTGGTTCTCGAATCCTAAGAGTCATTGAGGCTCATTGACCCATTTTAGTAGCCGAATCGTTAAAAGGCATCATTTAAATTTCTATCGCTCGAAGCGTGTTGCTTTTATTTCTCCATTGCTGTGTTCTATTCCCACTCTGGGTGCGACACACATTCCGTCCGGAGATCGAACCTGTTTTGCCTAGCAAATTACCAGCTAAGCTACGAGAACAACTTGTCGGGTTCTATTTTGTACTTGTAGCTGCTGCCTGTGTTGCCCGTGTTGCCTGTGTTTTCGCCTTGGAGTAATCGCATAAGCATGACGCGTATTTAATGGCAAATTGACCCAAATCGTTTTTCGGACTCTGCAGATTTATGGGTACGTGAAAGCCCGGGGCGACCGTTTTAGCTAAATGATAAATGATGGCTCCCCGGGCCTCGCTCCATGCCACATACCACATACCACAAATCTGTGTTTTTAAGAACGGCGGAGGGCCTTGAACTCGGCCAGAGAAGCGATCTGATTGGAATCATAACCAACTACTCACTCTAGTTGAACAATCCAGATATCCAGATGATGTTCCCAAACTGTATGGACTTTGGCGCTGAAAAGGGGAGGAGCCCAGGTGATTTTGCATATTTCACGAGCCCTGCAGCATCCGCTCGCCTCCCCGCTCCCCGCTCCCCTCCTCGCCTTTGGGCTAGCCTGTTGAAAGCTTGTTGCAACATATTTGGTTTCCCTCCATCTTTGTGTATCTCTGTATTTGGGCCTGGTGTTTGCAAAAAGTTCGAGGCGCATGCAAATGAAATGGAAAACATTTGAGTAAAAACTTCTGCTTGAATCCCCCTTTGGCGGCATCCCACATCTTTTTTGAAAAACCCCTGCAGCTGATTCCGAGTCCGAGTGCTGCAAAAATGTTGCACTTGCACCAAGTTTTCGAGACTCAACTTAAACAAATACCGTAAACGACGTGAATGTGAATGTGAATGTGCAAGCGAAACTGCAGTTAAGAAGTAAGTGAACTACTTTTGCAATATGCTAAGGATAGAAAGCTGTTAAAATAACTTTGCACTATTATTTCAGAACTTTTCAGAGAATTGTATGTTTTCAAGCATCATTTCAAAGATTACAATAATATAGTTGTGTACAAATCAGTAGCTTATACTAATACGCAAAAAAATTAAAAAATATTACTCTTTTAATTTATTCGTTATTTAAGTATTTTGTTCCATATTTATTGTGAATACATTTTTCTTTTAAAACGATGTATATTTTTACATGTCCGTCAGAAACACAATCAAATTATTGAGATGGGAACATGCAAATATATATATTTTTTTTATTTTGTAAAATTAGTAGCCTAATATGGAAGCGCTAAAAAAATGATATTTTCCCTTAAATGCATTTTATTTTTGATCTACAATGCAGCCATACAAATATTAGAAAAAATTGTCCAACAGTTTTTGAATGTGCTATCCACAGTGGACACTAGCCTTCAATTGAAAGCGACAGAAACAAAGTGAAACTGGCGAGAATGAGCAAGTGAACTGGCGTGGGAAGCGGGAAGGAAGGGGATCAGGATGGGAGTCAGGATGGGAATCAGGATGGGAATCAGGATGAGCTATCCTCCGAACTCCTGAGGCCAATACACAGAGTGGGGTCTGCGTTTTGTTTATGAATGTGTGTGGTCCTGGCCCAAAGGGATTGCGAGAAGCAGGGAGCTGGCTGGCATGTCATAAATATTAGAAGGCTTTGCCGCCAGACACAATGTTCCAACTGCTGAATGGCCGTCGTTTGTCTTTTGTCGTTTGTCGCACGCACAACTCGCCATTGCAAGATACAAAGCGCAGATAGACAAACAGATTGTCGCCTGCAGTGTCGCTTTTTGGGGGCGGCGCCTGTAGTGGCGGGTGTTCTACATATACATATACATATACATAGCTCATGGCATGGGTGAAAGCTGGGGGCTACCAACTTGACCCAGCGAGTTTTCCAAATAGAACAGTGGATAGAACAGGAAATGAGCTGCACTCGATTTATCGATAAAAGTAAAAACCCAATACTTTAAAGGGCCATTTGGGGAAGATAAAGAAACGGAATTTGAATTCATTTTTTAAGCTTTAAAGACTCGAATTTAAAAAATAAAATAAATATAGTTGAGCAACACTTTATTCAGTTTTGGCCAATTTAAGACTGCTGTGTCTTCTGCTGTTCTGTGACGTTTTTGAATTGTTTTCCATTAGGCCCAGGACCTTTGGCTCCCGTAACTTGGCAGGGTTTTCTGCCACTGGCTAGAAAATATTACACGCAGTTGTCTGGCATTTTGTGCCTGACCAAAGTGGAAAAACGAGGGGGAAATAGCCTGACTGGCTGACCGCCACATTTAAAAATGAATAAGGAAGGATAGAGGAGGGGGATAGGGGGATAGGATGATAGAAAGCGACGCCTTCTGATGACCAACCATTTCTTATTCATCATTGCAGCGCCTCTGGCTGAATAAAAAGGACAAATACCCGGCCAAATCTTAGAAATCACACCAACCAGCTACCATGGCCCACTCCAAGGTGATCCTGAAGATCCTGTTCTCGCTGTGTGTTTGGTCCTTCGTCATAATCGGGCTGTTCAAGATGCACGGCACGAATCTGGTGGCGCAGGAGTACCAGCAGGTTCCCCTCAACGGACGCATCCTGCTGCAGAAGGACATGCGGTACGCCGAAACCACCTCCACGACCACGGATCACTTCGATCCCAGCGAGATTCTGGTGGACAATCGAACAGGTGAGCAGAGAATATAAAGGAATACTTAATCGTCTTTTATTACTAAAATCCTCCCAGACTTTTTCATAAAATGTTCCCAATCAATTTGCATTTAGAAATAAAATATATATGTTTTTTTAGGATACAACATTTTTATTCAGGTCAAAATTAGTAAAAAAAATGAACTTGATTAATATTATTATATCTATCGCACCGCCTTTTCAGCCATGGACGATGACCAGCTGGTCCGCGACGTGGAGTCCCGCATCCCCTCGCTGCCGATCGCCTACTGGAGCAAGAACAAGAACTTCCTGCAGCAAAAGTCCTCCACCTGCGCCAAGTACCCCTCCATTTTCGAGCTGGAGTTCAACAACATCTACTGGCAGACGCTGCGCACCTCGAACGGAACGTTCCAGCTGTTTGGCGCGTACTACGACATCCGGCGCACTTCCCTCCTTGGGCCCACGGTGCGGATCCTCGGGATGATCGACCGCATTGAGCCAAAGGTGAAGACCTTCTGCCAGTTCTGGTTCGACGGCCAGAAGGAGCCGTTCATTGTGAAGACCTTCGAGTACAAGTACATCTGGTACAACAAGTGGGGCAACTACAAGCAGGGCATCTACCAGCCGTATCTAATCGCCTGCCAGATCCCCAAGCCCTTCCACGGTGTGGTGCCCAGCTCAGTCTCGATGGTGGAGAAGGAGTGCGACACGGCCACCAACAATCTGCGAGTCATCTACAACCGACCGCCCGACGACCAGAAGAAGGGTTTCGCCGTCTGCGTCAAGGGACTGGACTTCCTCTACGACGACCTGAGTGTGCGCCTGATCGAGTGGATCGAGATGCTCAATATACTGGGGGCTGACAAGATCTACTTCTACAATCTGCAGGTAATGTGGTAAAAGTAGTAATCAAAACCACTTGTTGCATCCTTCCATTTTAAATGCTCAGATAAGACATCCACAGTGCGCCACTCTAATACGCTTTCTCCCTTCCGCAGGTCCACCCCAACATCACCAAGGTGCTCAATCACTACGAGCAGGAGGGCAAGGTGCAGGTGATCCCGCTGACACTGCCCGGCGGACAGCCGAATGTGCCCGGATTCCAGCACCTCTACCTGACCAAGAAGACGAACCACAAGCGGCAGAACGAGGTGATCCCATACAACGACTGCCTGTACAAGAACCTCTATCTCTACGATTACATCGCACTGCTGGACATCGACGAGGTGATCATGCCCAAGGGCGGCTCGGTGCTGTGGTCCGAGCTGATGGACAAGGTGCGTCCGGAGTCGCGCAAGATCAAGCCGGACGGGTTCCACAGCTACAACTTCCGCAACGTGTACTTCCTGGACGACCAGCAGCACGAGCATGGCTGGCACAAGGACATCCCCAAGTACATGCACATGCTGCAGCACGTGCACCGGGCCAAGAACTACACCAAGCCGAATCAGTATGTGAAGTGCTTCCACGATCCGGAGCGCGTGCTCACCCTCCACAACCACTTCCCGCTCAGCTGCTTGGGCGGGGTCTGCAAGTCCTATCCGGTGGACACGCAGGACGCCCAGCTGCAGCACTACCGGGCGGACTGCGTCAAGACGCTGAAGAAGAGCTGCGAGGAGTACCGCGAGCACTCGGTGGAGGACAAGACCATTTGGAAGTACAAGGACGAGCTGATCCGACGCACCATCAAGGCGCTGGACACCCTGGGCTTCTTCCGGCGCCAGGGCCTGAACTCGGCATCGGCATCGGGCTCGGGCAGCAGCAGCAGCGGACTGGGCGGCGGAGCCACCACCCACTCCACGGAACGGTGATTCACACTCCTCGGGGGTGGATTAGGCGGAGGAGGAGGCGGATGGTCCTGGCCCTGGCAATTCGTGGAGGCATCCGGCAGCAGCCTTGGCAACGAGGAGTTCTTTGTGTGAGGAGGCCAAGGGTGCCGTGAGTTGCTCAATCCGAATCCAAATCCAAATCCGAAACTAAACCCAAAACCCGGGCTCTTATCCCTGAGTTTGTGTTGTGCAGAGATCACTTGACTCTGAGTTTGGAGTTTTTAGGCTCAGAGAGTTCCCATCCAAAATCCATTTGAAAAGAGGCTCTGTTTTCGATTTGATTTCGATGAAATTAGGTGTTTACTTTTAGATCGTTCTTTAAAGCCAGTCATTAGATGAATGTTTTCGAACCTAATTACACAATTTTTAGCATACCATTTTTGTTTACCACTTTTAAAATGTGAAATGATTTATTTGTTCAGTTTTAGAGATCCGCCGCCTAATTTGACCGAAATCGAATATATCATCAGGGTTAACTTGATTATGGCTAGTGTATAGAAGAGGCGTTAATTAGTTGCGGAGTTGGGAGAGAACACTTTAGAAATTGTGCCTTCGAACCTGGATTGTAGTGAGTCCCGTCTCCTCCTGCCGTCAAATCCCTCCCTCTCCCAATTATATATTTCCATTCACAAAAAAAAAGACAAAAGGTCACAACTTTTCAAAAAACGAGACCCACAATATTTGCCTGAGTACACAACGGATGAAGAGAGAAGTCGAGGAAGAAATCATAGCAAAGTGAAGGAAACCTAAACTAAGTTCAAGACTGATGATGTTTATTAAGAATTATAAAATCAAAATGAGGGATTTTCAAGCGTATTTTTGTTTTCACATTCGGATAGAATCGATATTATTGTTGTTGTATAGGCAAGTAAAGGCCCCCTAAAATCGCAAGCGAGAAATATCAGTAATGCTAAGCAAAACAAAACAAAAACTATAAGAGAAGCAAATTGAAGAAGTTTGAGTTGTAAACTGTAAATAGGAAAATTGTTAACGAGGAAGAGGAGGCCCTAAGAATAAAGCTAACTATGCGGACTAGACCGATTTTAATCGGATCAACTAGTAGGAAATGGAAAGAAATAGACGAGAATTAAGAGAAGCTGCTTAGCCACCACCAATCTTTTTTTGGTTTTTAACCAAACATTACCCGATATCCATATGTTTTTTTATCTTGTACATACACATACACCGACACAAAACTCTCACACACAAATACACCACGCACATTTCCTTATGTATTTTATTTTATTATAATTTTTTATAGCAGCTTAGTCAAATTGTTGTTGGAGTTAAGGAGAGTCGTGTACAGTTTGGGAAACTATGCACCCACTTAAACTATTCGATAGTTGTACGACTATGCATAAACACAATATACATATACACGATATACATATATAGATACCTACTTGAGTGTATTAATGTTAGTTTCTAGCTGATAAGGACAAGCGTGTGAAGGAAACACAATTTTCTTTCCTCATTTTTTTTGCGTAGCTAATAAAACACAATTGATATGAGAACAAAGTGATTGATGAATAAAATTTCCAACAAAAAATAGGAATATTGCTTGTCTTGCTTAACTAAATTTTTAATACACGGTCCTTTTAGAATCAGCAGGATAAACGAAAGCCGTATTTAAGGACTCTTCCAATTGAATGGCTGCTAAAAAGGAAAAGGGATCCTGCTACCGGGAGCGTGCCAAATACGTGAGACACAAAACTTCCAGGAATGTAAACAACAAAGCATTTAAACCAGGGCAGAAATGAATCCACTTTACGCAGGAGCAGCAGCAAAGAAACAAGTCCTCTAAGGATACCTTAAGCCACTGCAAACAAAACTTTCTGCCCGAAGAGTCGAAGGATAACCAAGGCAGCTCCACCGGACAGGACCGAAAACAAAAGGAGATGGGCGGTGAGTCTTGGGTGGCGAAGAAATTTGTATAAACGCAACTTAAGTGGGCATTAAACACGCTCCACTGGAGGACCAGGAATGGAGACCGTGAGCAGCTCCCAGGCTTCTGCGCGTCTAAGTTGGTTAATAAACATTACCAACGCCACAAAAACCATTTACGTGAACTATAAAAATTCCGCAGTATTTAAGTTGCCTACCACCGCCCTTTCTTGGCCTTGTTTCACGATTATGTTTATTTATATGGCACACACGAGGCGGAAAGTAAGCTGGAAAAGCGTGAAAACGGCGGAAACCAGATGATGATTATTATGTTGATGCTGTCGACGGTTACGAAGCGGTTTTCAACACTTGCCAGCAGCCAGCCAGACTTCTGATTGAAATGCACAGCTCTTGGTCAAAAAAAAATGCGAATGCAAAATACGGCAAACTAATTAAAATTCTCTATTCCCAAACCCATTCCGTGGCATATGCATTCCATTCATAATGCATGCGCATAAATCCAGGAATAAAGTGCGCGGCTTAAAAATTAAAATCTGCAATTACACGACAGCCCCAGGTGATAAGGGTTGCAGCTCGAAAACCGCATAAAATTCATGCCCCTGTGGTCACCAGTCCGGTTGATTTGTCGGTTGGTCCACAAGCCCAAAGTCTACCTTCTATTTCGTTTCAGGTTTATTTTCGTTTATTTCTTCCCCCAATATATGCCAGGATCGAGTTGCAACTGCATTTGCCCTGCCCGCTCGACATTAATTCCCTTTCTTTCGCCATGGAATTAGGTTGAAACTCGTAACTCAAACCATTTGTGGAGTAGCGGCATTGCACTGGCAAAAAGGAACAATCTTCGCAGAAAAGGTCCAAGATGCACGAGTTTCTCGCTGAATGCCATTAAGTTAAGGTTTTAATTATGGTCTATATTATTTGTTTTCTTTATTTACTATAATAATAAAAAAACTTCTATTATTTATAAAAAAAAAACATGTTGGTTATTTATTTTAAAATGGTCAAGGGCTGTACCAGGTACCAGGCGAACATAAATGCCCAGCAGGTTGCTGCGCAATTTTAATCCGGCAGCGCCTAAATGCACGCAACATAAAATTTGAATTCCAAAGCGATCGGTTGCCCAAAAGTATGCAACACAATTTTTAAATTCCAGGCCTCATGGAAAAAAACGCTGTTCGCTTTTAGAGCTATAGCTGCTTGCTGATCATTTCTGTTCGCCTGGTACTTCAAAATTGGAAATTGCCGAGTTTGCATGAGAAAAATTGGTTTGGGCCGGTCCATTTACACGGACAAATTTAGATTTTTCGGTTTGAAATACCAGGCGAACATAATTGCCTAGGAGGTGGATGCACAATTTTAATATCCGGCAGCGCCCAAATGCACGCAACATAAAATTTGAATTCCTAAGCAACTGCCTGCCCAGAAGTATGCAACATTATTTTAAATTGTCCTGGGTGTAGAGCGCCGTCTATATTTGACGATATAAGGGACTTCAGTATACGCAACGATCGCCCCCAAAAGAATACAACACTTTTTTGCCGACGAATGCTACAAAAATGTCATTTATTTAAAAATCAATATTTTAGTACAGAAGAATTGTATAATGGTATTTTGCTTTAATATGTTGTCAGCCAAGGTCATCATGGTCTTCTGCGAATTCCATCCAGTATTTCCTCTTGCCATGTATCCAAAATCTGAAACATAGTAAATATAAACATTTTTGTTACTAATAGTCGGAATAAATCAAACAAATACATAGAATACAGTTTTTGGAGCATTTTTAAACTTTTCCTTAATGGTGCCAAATAATGTTATAAATTTAGCATAAATTAGCCAAAAATACACGTTTTTAGTGTTAGCATCATGAAAAATGAAACTCAATTTTTGGTTTTTTGATCAAAACCTTTGGAAATAATGGTCAGATCTTGGAATGTCATATCTCGTTGAATTCGTTACAAAATTTCCAATCGATTGATATTCTCAGCTCAAAAATTTTATTTTGGGCCAAATTTGGAAAAAAATCAAGTGTTACCCCTTACCAAAAATGCGAAAATCGGTCAAAAAATAAAATTTACCAAATCCTCCTGGAATCGATTGTGTAAGTCACCAGCTGCACAAAACAGTCATTCATTTGACTGTGCGTCTTATTTTATCCAAGTTACAACAAAAAAACCGTTAAAAAATGTGATTTAAATATATGTTTTTGATAGCAAAAATCCAGAAAAAAACAGCTCCTTTTTTCAGTTTTTTAATCAAAACCCTTGGAAATAATAGTCAGATCTTGGAGTGTCATACCTCGTTGAATTCGTTACAAAATTTCCAATCGATTGGTATTCTCAGCTCAATAATTTTATTTTGGGCCAAATTTGGAAAAAAATCAAGTGTTACCCCTTACCAAAAATGCGAAAATCGGTCAAAAAATAAAATTTACCAAATCCTCCTGGAATCGATTGTGTAAGTCACCAGCTGCACAAAACAGTCATTCATTTGACTGTGCGTCTTCTTTTAGCAAAGTTACAATAAAAAACCCTTAAAAAATGTGATTTAAATATATCGTTTTCATGCCCAAGATCCGGAAAAAAACAGTTCGATTTTCCGGTTTTTTTGATCAAAACACTCGGAAATAATGGTCAGATATTAATGTCTTACCTCGTTGATTTCGTTGCAAAACGTCCAATTCATTGGTATTCTCAGATACAAAATTTTATTTTGGGCCAATTTTTAGGTTTGAATGCGATTCCCACAAAGTAGGACAGTCCATTTTGAGTCTATTTTTTGGGCTGTTATGGAAAAAGTTTTGTTAAGTACGATTTCTAGATCGAGTCCTAAATTGTTTTTAACCGCCTTGCGAAATTTACCTGTTTTGCTTCAGTGCAACTGTAACGCCGAATGCAACGAAATCTGCGGAGCAATCTCAATTTGAATTTGAATGTAGATGGCGTTTGATTTTTGGCCATCCTAATTATGTGCGTCTCTCTCTCTTTACCCTTTCCTCTTTCCCCTTTCCCCTTTCACCTTTCCCCTCGTCCCTTTCACCTTTCACCATACACGTTGCAGCTGTGTGTGCGTGGCCACTGAGTGTGTGCGTGCAAGATTGGCAAACCAAACAGGAAATGCTAATTACATGTACGTGTACACTGCGTATGAGTGTTTGCGAGAGCGGGTCTATGTGGCCACTCCCACTTCACCTGCAGCCTCCCTTTTCCACCCACGCCCCTTTTGCACCCACGGCAAGGGGAAGCAAAGTCGCCCGATTGCCGGCTCATGCAATATTATTGCTCGCAATCTAATTAACCGCACAGCGAGGCAAGCTCACTCACACCCACACCCACAAACCCATACCCATACCCATACCCACACCCACACATTTACGTGGCCAATATTTGCGCCAACTGGTCATATCAAAACCACCACACACACACACACCTATAAACCTATTGCCGAAACACACACACAATGGAAATTATACGCTTAATTGAGAAGGGAATTCAGCGCTAATTCAATTCGCTTTCATCGTCCTATGACTCTGGACAGGTTTGCACTACCATTAAGTACTGGTCCTGACTTTTGGCAGCTCTTTTGGCCAGCTAAGCAGCCGCAAAATACATTTTGAAGCCGCCACTAACAGGTTACTTAAACGATGTCCCCACTTCAGTCAATAGGTGGTGCAATTTAACATTAGCGAACTGATTTAGAAATCAATATAGTACCAAGCTGATTTACGCACTAACTCTTTTCCTGATATTAAAGAAGTTAAGATGTGTGTCAATATTTTGTGGTGAAATTTCTATACCCAAGAGTACTCCTTAGAAATGTGAATTTGACACGATTGTTCCTTATGGAAAATATTTTGTTCCTTATGGAAAATATTTTGGCCATAATCCGAACAATAAAACGATTATCAATTTTTTGATTAAAGCCATGCAAAATAACGGTCACTTCAAGTTACAAACTTTTGTCCTATTTATAACACCCTCTGCGAGGATATAATGAAATATATGTTTTAAATATGTTTCAGAAGAAAAATGTGTATAGAGGTATTAGAAATAAAAACATTTTTTTAAGATCGCAATCCACTTTCAAATAGAAGCTACACAAGAAGTACACAACTGCCCTCTTGCTTTAACATAAATTTCAACTGTAGCTGCCCGCAGTGCCTATGACACAGTTCCCTTTGCTGCTTTTGGTCATCTACCATTTACCATTTACCATTCACACTGGCAGCCTTCTCACTAGATCGCCTGCAGATTTCCCGGCAAATCCTGTGCTTCTTTTCCCGCCTGCCCTGTCGATTAGTCAATTATAGACAAATGGCCTGGGAGTTGCGAGCGCGGCACAATGTAAACAACCCATCAATAGCAGCAAAAATACAGGAGACGGCTGGGGAAAGTGGGGGGAAATGCCTGGTTGAGATAAAAGAATTATGCATGGGCAACGGAAGGGCGTGAAAAGGGAGTCCGACTCCGACACAAAAGGCGAGAAAGGACCCACGGGCAGTCCGGAATCAGCAGGATGGGTTGAGCGAAAGGAAACCACAAGCCACACAGAGAAATTGAAAAAGAAATGCAGGAAAAACACTGGCAGGCCAGGGGAAAAGAGGTCCTGTTGCAGGAAAAACGGATGCAAGGGATGCCAAGAAGTGGCAAGCGGAAAAACTAGATTGTGAAAAACAAGAGAATCATAGTAATTTTTTGGGGACCATATCTTGAAAACTCTTTGCCAGCCACTTTTAAATAAGGTACTGATCTGAGCTGCCTATCGAAAATATATAAATTTTATGAGTAGAGTAAAAAAGTCGTTTAAAAAGGTCTTGTGATGGGATAGTAAGCTTGCTAAGGCAAGTTAAACGAATAGTTCAGCACTTACAGCATTTGCTTTTAAGAAGACTGCTAATGGCAAAAAAATATCCGACTAAAATCGGGATTTAAGATGACACCCCAACATTTTCTCGCTGTGGCGGACAAATACTTGCAAAGCACCTGCAGACACCAAAAAGGGGAATCCCCGCAGAGAAGCGAGGGTGGTATACAGATACACTCCACCCACCCACACTACAAAGTCAAACACAAAACGGAAATCGGAAAAAACAACGCAGCGAAACAAAAGGGAAGCGTTGATGCCTAAAGAGAGTCTCCCACAGGACTAAGCGGTTTGAAATGGGGGCGGGCTTGCCACTTGTTTCAAGACGCAGGAAAGGGGCGGGCAGAAAAGGGGCGGGGAGGAAAGGGGCGGGGGAGCGGTGCCGGGCAGATAAACAAAATTTGTCCGTGTCCGGGCCACAGAGACAAAAACCCAACAAAAGCGGACAGCCTTTCAATAGTCTCCATATTGCGACTACGGAATATTCCCTCTCAACTATTATTAGTATTATAAGTGTCAATCAGATAAGACTGATTTGAATTCCTTGCTTTAAAGGCCAAGCTCAGGAAAACCTTTTAAGTGTAGGTAAGCTAATATTTGTAAAATTGTATCCCGAATATTAAAGAACTTGCAATAATTAATTCCTAAAATGAAACAATTTAGTATTACAAATTAAAATGTGATCCTTCTTTAAAAGCTGTATTAGTTTCTCGCGACAAGAAATCGCCACGTTCTCCCAAGTTCCATTAATTGAATGGAAATATTGATATGGCCCGGCATCGATGACCAGAAACAAGGACACAGGACACAGGATGCAGGATGGGTTTCTGCCGCCTTCACATCCTTCATCTTCCTTTGTTTCGCCTGTCACTGGCGGCAAAGGGTTTTAAATTTAAGCAGACTTCGGTGCGATCGCAGCCACACGATTTCCGCTAAATGCCAGCTGGGAAATGTGGAAATGGGGAAATGGAAAATCCCCCCTTTTAGCCAATATCCTGACCATGATGCTGCCAATTGCCAGTCGCCATGCAAACAAAGGCAACAAAATCTAGTTAATTGGGTAAAATGCTCGGCGGAAATTGAAAGCAAAAGCAAGGCAACAAACATGGGTGGAGTGCGGGGAGGTGGGAGGGGGGTGGCGGGGTCAAAAGGGCAGTCGAAATGCAATAAATATCTAAATTTCCCCTTTTGCCGGGTCATTATTTATCGATTTATGCAAATTTGCAGCAAACTTTTATCAATAAACAATAATAAATTAAAATCAGCAATCACTGAGCTAAACATTCGCATCGCCCCGTCTCTTTTCCGTACAGAACACTCTCTCTTTCTGTCCATGGTCTTTTTTTTTCAGTGGAGGGGGGCTGTCCAAATTGAAAACGAAATTTATAAATGCAAATTGTCAACGCCGCCGAAAGCCAGCAGCAACAGCCGAAAATGCGTAGCATTTTTCCACAAACATATATCTGGATAAGTACTTATGCTTTATATGGACGTGTGTGCATATACATATATCCCACATGTATGCCACGTCGACTATATGGACAAATTTACGCTAGCAAAAATGTTTGTTGTTCGCAATCAAAAATGAAAACAGCGGGCAGGAAAAAGTGCAGAAAGATGGACCCGGCAGAGCGGAGAATGCCAGGTCAGGTTCTTTTCGATGGCATAGTGTAGTATACTATACTATAGTATCCCATATTCCGAGTGGGATCCCCTGCCCAGTGGCAAATTCAATTGGAGGATAAAAACGGTTGCCCCTCAGGGCCCAAATAATTACCATGCCCCGAGGTGTGTGCACACCGTTCCGAAAGCGCCGCCAGCTGCTAATCCTACGGGCATGCAAATGTGTGTCGAATACAAAGAGGTTGGAGAGCTGGGCAAAAAGTGTTTTCGCATAATTTTAATTTTAATTTTAATTTTAATTGGAGCCACGGCAGATGGATTAACAATGCAATTAGCATAGTTCTGAAGAAAAATGTCGGGTGGGGGCGAGCGGATGATAATATATGTACTCGGAAATACCACAGTTTTAATATTTAATGTTTATCATGATTTGTGGCAAATTTCAGGCTTGTGAAATATTTATATGAGTAGGATAGATTTGGGGTGCAAGCAAATATTAATAGAACAATTAAGCGATTTAAATTTATTTAATTAATTTGAGATATAAAGGAAAAAAAATGAATGCCTGAAAAAGCATATTACGGGTGTCGTTTGGTCATTTTCCCACCGGGCACTCAATCGAGTCAACGGGTCCTACCGTTTTTGGTCAGCACTTGGACACCGTCTCTGCCTGCCGCCTACCACACCCCCTCCGCCCCTCTGCCCCTGCCACGCCCCCCTCATCCCCTGAAGCGTAACCACCTCTGACCGGAGCTATTTTTGCATACTTTTGTGCGACGCGCAAACAATTTGCATTTTCCATTTTCCATTTCGGCGTCAAATGAAATGTGCCCGACTGTCGGGAGTTCCTGCCCCTCATCCTGATCCCCCGCCCCCGCCCCCTCCTCCTCCTGCTCCTTTGCGGAGTGGGAAATTCTCAACCAAAAAGCAGGAGCTGCACCGATGATTTATTGCACTTTTGACGTTATTGATATTTTATTTGTTTGCGATGAAGTCATTTAGTGCAGGCCGCACGCGTGAAAGCAACGCGACGGGACTGAAAACTCTGGGGGGAGGGGGTTTTAGGGGGGTGAGGGGATCACCTCCAGGACAATGATTTATGCCGACATCGGCGAAGCAAGAAGTCAGTGGGAAGAAGGAAGTAGTTTGGCCTCTCCGACTTTTTATGTTCAGCAGGAAGCAGGAATTTCCCAAACAAAAAATCGTGAGGAACAGTGAACAGTGCTTAAGATGGATCTGGCAAAAGCCGAAGAATAAGAACAACATAATAATTCGCAGAGCAAGTTAAATTTGAATTTTCAAGCATGCTCTGAGTTCGTAATAAAATATTTCAGCAGTATTCTCAGCGAATTTTATCAGTACATTTTTATCGTTCAAAATAAACACATCTATTAAACTGTATATTTTATATTGGACGTACTTTTATTTAAACGACCCCAGAAACAATACTTCAAGCAAGAGGAACACAAAAGTTTAGGTAAGTGAGTGAACTCGTGCAATCTGTGGCTCAAATTTAAAAGTTTTTGTGCAAAAAATTTGAAGAAGCCTTTCTGCTTTTCTAAATACTTTGCATTTTGTGGTCCATGCAAAGGCATGCCACAGACTGTATTGAATGGGAATCGACCAGCTTAAGACTCTTCAGAAAATGTTTAATTTAAAGCAATAAAACTATTTACTGTATTTAATTCTTAAGATGTACATTTTTCGGTTGTTTGCCATTTAATGGCTTTATCTGAGTTCAGCACACCTGCTTTGGAGCAGCAATTAACGTCTTAATCACGGCGTTGACCATGTGAGTAAGGTGACTGCTCTGCCTTCTGTTGGAAAATAGTTAAATACTTTCCTGTCGGCACGGGGAAATCCCATCCAACGATCCCCCCTCCCCCCAAAGCTTAAATAACGCATAATTTAACTGAAAGTCAGCTTCAAGTTGGGGCACAAAGAGATCCAAGGACTCGGAACCCGAGACTTGGGCCTCTTCTGGAACTGGTAAATGGCAGCCAAGTTGGGAGGGGGGGGTTTCAATCCGACACGACTCGAGACAAGTGCCCAGTCGCTCTCGCCTTTTCTCCTTTCTTTTTACTTAGGTGTCGTGCAGCTGCACTTGAGATATATTCATGCATATATATGTATATAGTGCATAGTATATATGGCGTATGTATGCCATCTGTATAGTTTTGTGAGTTGTGAGTTATTTGCACTGGCAGCTATTTGGCAACTGCAGCACACAGACACTCGGTGGAAAAAAGAAAAGGAGAGGGCCTTTTTGGGGCACTTTCCCGGCCAAGAGCTCGGCACAAATGCATTTTCCCTATTAAGCTCGCTCTGTCTCTGTTTAAGTTTTCATTTAAATTATGTTCGAGGGTCAGGGGCACTTTTCACCTGGGGAAATAGGAGGAGTGAGCCAAAGTAAATGCTGCAAGAGCAGCGCACGACATAATGATATAATGCTATTCCGGGAAATCGGACGGGGAAGCCTTATTCCACCGCAGCTACAGCGAAACGCAATTAAAGCAAGACAAGTCCAACCGACAGCAACGGCGAAAGAAAGCCTCGGAGTCAACTCGATGGTTCTATTTGGTGTGGGTTTGGGCTGGACATCTGCAAAGGGAGTGGAAAGGGGGAGAGCGGGGGCCGATTCTCGACCCAGTTTGATTGGCAATTCGGGTGACAAGTGGCAGGGCGATCGAAAAAGCGAATGAATTGGAAGCCTTTCAATAAATCCCACTCTTGCCATTTCTATCTTTTTCTCTAGCACGCTTTTCGCATCGGTTTTGCTTTTTTGAAGAGCTGGGGGTTTCCACACTTGACAACAATTTATGAGACCGCCGTTGCCGTCAAACTAATTGAAAAACTAAGCCTGCCATCTAAGCCAAACCAAACTTTTCCCTCGAAGTCCCTAACCCGGATAACCAACCCACACACCAAGCACACACACACACATCTCGGGTGCAAATAGTAGGGGTAAAAGGTAAAGGGTTGGACGGGAGAGGGAGAATCTGATGAACATGCAAACAAACCCCAAAATGTTGCACTTAATTGCAACTATTGGAAACTTCGTCCTAATCCGACTCCTTCTGCAGCCAAATTGGTTTATTTTCTTGCCAAATTCTTGGAACACGTCCTCAGTTTTGCGGGCAGGGAAAATAAAATACGAGTGCTGGGGTGTGGAGTACACAAAGTTCCCGACACACAGTCATCTGGAATCAGTCGGAACAATTCTGCCAATTTATGTATATCATGCAACTTTGTTTTGTCCTTGTCTTTTGGGAACACCCATTTAGTCGCCGCCCTAAATTCGGAATGGAAAATGGTGCTTTGCTGATTGAACAATTATGCCAATTGACATTTTATCTGTTCAATTCGATTTGGTCCGACTCGATTACACAGCCCAGATTAAAGTCGGGCTTTGAATATCTTCATAATGTGTGGTATCCATTGCTGATTGGCTTTAATTGGCTTCCATTATTGGTCCCTACGTTAACGTTTGATACCTAAAAAAAAAAAGCTTACATATTAAAAGGGTAGAAAGAGGAGATGACAGAAGTGCTTTACTGATTGGTAGGAGGCACACGTTGCGTATGCGTGATATTTGACTACTAACGTATGCGTGATATTTGACTACTAACTAATGATGTGTCGATTTAAAGATATAACAAAGATTATTATACAATTACTTACTAAACTTAATTATAACTCCTTCTCCCACAGACATAAAAACACTACTCGGAATACAAGCCATGAATTGCCTCTATCTGGAATATGGTGGCACCAAAGGCACAAAAAGGTCTATGTTTAATAATAAAAATGATAAATTGATCACACTCGACAGATTCGCAGAATCCTCCGAGAATTCTCTCTACACAAAGGTCTTTGGCAGCCACGGCGTTTTGGTCGAAACTCCAAAATCGAGTCCCAAGGAGAGATTTTTTCCCGAGAATAGGAGATCCAGTTCCTTGGGGCAAAGGGCCTGGAAAAGGGGCGAAAATAAACTCCTTTCGGGAATGAATTATTTCACACCCAAAAAGCAATCTGATAATTCCCGAAAGAGTCTCGCATTGAAAGGGAAATCTTCTGAAACATATAAGCCCGTCTGGTTCGGCACAAGCGAGAACTACATGTTCAACAGAAATAAAGAATTAGCCAGTCAATCCGGAGACTCCTGTTCCCAGAAATCCCTTTTCCAAAGGGTCTTTGCCAGCTTTACCTCTGTGGATGCAATTCCAGGACGAATTTCCAAGTCCTCAAGCGAGAGCAGAAGTCCAGGCAGTGGGACATCGAAAAGTGGTCTTCAATCGGAAGAACTCAGCGGAGGGAAGTATCTTTCATGCACACAACAAACTTTTAGCTTAGACAAGAGTCGCCAAATCAAAGAAGAGGGTTCTCAATCTGGTATATCTCTCATGTTTGATAAGCTGGAGAGTCTCCAGTCCGGAGAATGTTGGCCATACAGAAAGGAATCCTTTCAATCGGGAATTTCGAGGCCATCCGAAGAACCCACTTCTGCAACTGCAACATGTTTAAAATGCAAATATCAGCTAGAAACATTTTTATACGGAGTATCTGACATAGTTAAAGAACCAGTTTCTCACACCAGAAATAGTAATAGTAAGGATGAGGAATCTTATCAATCTGATAGGCATAGCCTTTTCGATTGCCTTACTTCTCAGTCAGAAAAGAGTGGTTTTTGCAACGAAGACTCTTTTCAGTCCGGAAAGTTATCTTTGGAGCACCACTATCTAAAAATAAAATCTTTTCTACCTGGAAAATCAAGCAAAATTTGTTCATCCGGTACGGAGTTTTCTCAATTTGAAAAATCGCCTTCTCAAGCTGGAAAGTTTCGCTCATCTAGTTGGAAATCGTATAAGTCTAAAATATCCTGGCCATCCACCAAAATACTTCAAACTCCTTTATCTGGGAATCCTCTCCTAACCAAAGATTCAACTTGCAACAAGTCCGGAATAGGTCACTCATCCATAATATGTCGAGACAACAGTGAAGGTCAGGACCTTCAACCCAAGAACTTTAGCTCAACCACAGAGTCAAAATCTGTGTCGAAAAAGGATAAATTTAAAGAGAGGACCTCGAGGAAAAGCGACTCGGAAAAATCGCGCGTCAAGTCTCTAAATGCTTTCTACTCGGAGAGCGAGGACAACATGGATCTGAAGGATGTCCTGAACGAGTCTGAGGATACGCGATTCTATCGCCGAATGGTCGGGGAATACTCCTCCGTCGAGGCCTTTCTCAAGGACTTCACCAAACGTAAAGCCATCGAGTTGAGAGAGCGACGTAATAAAAAATTTCCCGACGTGGCCAACAAGTGGTAGATGGGAAAATAAGTATCCCCATTATCGTTTGACATTTTGTCGCAATTAATAAAGTTTGTCGCTTCGAATAGCGATGGACAACATCGCACAGAGCCAAAAAAAATTCAAGTAACAAGGGTTGGATTTGGTATCGACTAAGGACATACCCACTTCTCTGATTCTGTGAAAGACACATCCACATTTTTTTGTAACTTAATAAATTTATAATTTGCTATCTGGAAATTTCTGTGGTTTCTAAAAGTTTTCGTGTTGGTATATTGAATGGAATTGTTTTGATCAAAAACATTGGATTAAAGAAGTCGTCATTATATTTGATATTCAGTTTCTGGGCACTGGATTAAAAATGATGCTCAAATGGGGATATGGAAAAATGCCTTTACCCTGTAAAACAGAAGGTCGAAAATTCCAGTTTGTTTACAGTTTTGCAATTTTAAGCGAAAATCGCTGACGCTGCGTGTGTGACAGCACAAGCCGCAGACCCCCGCTTCCCCCCTCGGACCTCGAGTGTCTTTGCATAATTTTTAGACAACCGCACAAGGGTGACTTTAATGTCATCAGCGGTTTTGTCCACTTTTTCTCCCCCGCAGCGAAACCTCCGACGACTTCCGACAGCTGTCAGCGGATTTAATGTGCAGTTTTAATCAAATTCACATCAGGCTAGTTAGGCGACGAGGAGCGGGCGAAAGTTCCCCGATTTCCATCACTACTCCACGAATACATCACAATATGGGGAGTAAACTTTATGGTCCAAATATGCAGAGTTATTAAAAATAAATAAACTATGTTAGAAAGCAGCACAACGAGAATTCCGGTTTTAAATAAGCAGCAGCCATACATTTTCACTTATTTTGGTTGGCATTCCACAAACATTAAATACATAAATCTTTAAACAACATTATGTAGCAATAGTACAAGGAAAAAAACACTACATCACTTTTTTTTTATTATTGTTCTCCTTATAAGGATATACATTTATCCTCATCGAAATAAAAATAACAATACAATAATATGTTTTAGTTAGCTTTGCATACCTTCTGTAAGTTTACATCGCAATCACTCATCCTCTATACTACTTATACTTTATACTTATTCTTTTAAGCCCAAATCATTAAATTCAAATTTATAATATTCTCACATACCCTGAATATAATAACAAGTCCCTGAAAACAAGCGATAAAATATTATATTTTTAGGCAATAAAGCTGTTCAGATAATTTACCTATTGTTTTCCATCGAATTTCTATTGTTCTTGATTTCCTCCACTATTCTCTCCAATAACAAAAAAATCAAATTGGTAGGTGTGCGTTAAAAGTCGCAAAGTGAATGAGATTTTTAATGGAGAGTTTTCCTCGCAAAAGATTTTTCCTCATGAAAATACGGTAAATTTCCTGTTTTGTTGCTTGCAACTTCGGGCTATTAAAAGAACATTCCAGGTCTTTTTAGGGAAAGGGGATGGATAAAGGGTGCGGACAGGTGAGAAAAGTAAAATATATATATACAAAAATATAAAAAAAAGTGCAAAGTGCATTGGTTACGACGCCACTAACACTTCAGACTTTGCGGCGCGATAAGACTGCGGTTTTTTATGCCTTTCTCTGCGGCTATTCCGACATATCCCTGTCTCTTTCCATTTCTCCAGACTTCACTCCTGTGAGGAAAGGTGTTTGGACCAAAGTTTTCGTCGACATCTTAATTTCTCACTTGTAAATTGAGCTGCGCCAGCCACCGCAAATTAGACCCCAAAGTATACGTACTTGTGGATGCCAAATATTCCCCGGAGTTCCCCTGCGGTTCCCCCACCTTCCCATACCCCCCCTTTCACTACCCACACACACACATGCCCATACACGCAATGCCACACACAGACATTCATGCGTAAAACCAACATGTGCACAGGAGGAGAAAGGTGGCAGTCAGGGGGAAAGGGAACAAAGCGCACTTGGAGTGTCGCAAACTTGGAGAGGCAACCCTAAAAAGGGGTGAAAAGGGGGATACAAAGGAGTTAAAGGAAGTGGAAAGTGGGAAAAAGGGTTTCATAAGAAATAAACAGCAACTTGGCCAATTCTGATGAAACTGCGTAATAAAGTGACAGTAATGTATTGTAGGCAATTATGTAAAAATATATTTTTTAATTGAGGTGTGTTTTTCCCACAAATAAAAACAGCCAGTTTAATTTAGAAATCGGCTTAAAAGTTTATTGTTAAGCTTTAGGTGAGAAAAACGCCGTCATTGCCATCATGCTCAGTCGATGGCTGCGAAATGGAGTTTTCCTCATTGTCGTCCTTGTCCTTTTCCTTGTCGTCTTCTTCGTACTTGTTTTCATCCTCGTCCACGTCTTTGTACTCAGTTTCGTCCTTCATTTTTAGCCTTTTCCTTGTTTTCTTCTTCGTACTCTTCAAGTTCTTGTCCTCTTCTTTGTGGTCCTCGTCCTGGTCTTCGTTTTTGTCCTGGTCTTCATTTTTTTCCATATCGTCTTCTTCGTCCTCATCCTCTTCTCCTTCTCTTCTTCGGCGTCATCCTCATTCTCGTTGTCATTCTTCTCCTCGTTGTCATCCTTCTCCTCGTTGTCATTCTTATCCTCGTCCTCCTTTACCTTCTCTTTCTGGCTTCCCCTTCGAATCAGCATTAGCCTTGAGGAGGGATAAAGCCGTATTCTTCCATGGTGCGAAAGCTGGCGCTTGTGACGGTCAGGACCCTCGATTGGAAAGTGGATCCGTGGAGCACACTTATGGCATTCCGGGCACTGCTTTGCTTTGCATACTGGATGTAGCCACGGTTCTCCTCGACCAGAGACCCCAGAATTTGGCCAAATTCCTTACAATGGTCCGCGAGTTCTTCGCGAGTGCAGTCCGGCAAGTTTTGCACAAAAATGCGACTCGTTAGACGGGTTGGTCCACTAGTAAGTTCAATTCCTGCGACTTGATTATTGTTCATGGTTAGGCTTTCTTTTCTCCACAAATGCTCGTCGAATGTCAGAAATTTTCAATTGCCAAGTGTAACCATAGATTGTGGATGGTAAAATTACGAGATTCGTAGGATTTTTAAAGGGTTGCTGCTATTTCTCCGACATATTGGTTTGAAATGATAGCAACTCTACAAACCGAACGGTCATATAATAACCAAATTTAGAGCTTTAAATCGAATCCTTATTTTGAGAGTGTGCAAAGGCTAATATTATATATAGTCATAGAAATCTGCTGTTATTGGAACGGGTGATAAACCGATCGAAAGGTAAAGCTTTATAAAGGGGAGTTCTTATGAAAAAACAAATGGAAATGTCACCTTTACTGCACTACAAACATTTGACCGAAATTAGAATACCCTTTGAAAGCGTATTAAAATTGTATTAAAATTATTACTATATTTAAGTTTCCTTGATTTCCCTTTGCACATTATATTGTATATATCGATTAACGGCCTGTTATTGATTTTCTATGCTGATGTTTCCATTAGCCCAAATGCCTAAGCATCTATGCCCACTTCCCAGTTAACCCCTTTTGAACCCAAGTTAACCCCCTAAACAAAGATGCTTTCAATCCACCGGCTGCTGCATTTACTGCATTTGCTGCAATTTCCCCATGGACCGCCATGTCTGCGCTTTCACTCCATCCCCTTCACCTGCCCGCCCCTTTGCTACCCCCCTTCTCCACCCTTTTTCGCACCCTTCCCCCCTCGTTGCGTCGCGCTTTTCACACCGCACCACGTAGCCAAACATTTGCAAATGAGCGTTGAAGCGTGGGACACCAACAACCGCAGACGCCTCAGGTGAAAGCTTCCCCTGACCCCCTGTTCCCCGCCCTTCCCGCACTTTCACCGCTTTCTTCACTCCCCGGAGAAAGGGGAGTCGGGAAATGCGTGCACAATTAGAGATAGCTGCGGCCATGACTGCGGCAGCTTTAGGGCCAAAATTGAAATATTTAATTAAATTTGACAAAGAGCATCCACTCCTTCTCATTGTCTTCTCCAGCTTTTCCTTCTTAATTTTCAGTTTTCTTGTTTGAATGTGAACTGAAAAAGTTCCATCTAGTTTTCAACTTTTTTTTTAAGTTGGCAAAAACTTTTTTGTTATATGTTGTATAAGCATAAAACCCACTCGAATTCTGCGATCTTAACATTGACTAATATAACATTTATTGAAAGTGTGTGTTTAAATGCCAAATGTCCGGGGCATTTCACACTTGGCTTGCCGCTCGACACTTATTCGCTTACCATTTAATCCCACCCAAATAGAGGGGCCAATAATTTGGACAATGACGTGCAATTATTTGCCAGCCAACTTTTGAGAGTCCTTAACCCCCGGTCAACCCCTAACCCCCTGGCTTTGGCAATTGCCCGCGTGGCACGTACAAAGTTTGTCTGTTTCTTGCGAATCGCCAAATGTGAGAAATGCTGGAAAAGAGGAAAATGGCAGCGGCAAAAAGGCGCGAATGATTCATGGCCGTTGCAATTTAGCTGCCAACTTGCGAAAAGTACCGGAAACGCATTCATTTTCCGCATTTTTCACATCAATAATGGACTGCAAGAAGGGGGCGGCAGCGGGGACAATGGGGGCGTGGTCGTAACTTGGACTCGGAGAACTGCAGCCCTAATTAAGTTTGCAACATTTATGACTTGTTAGCCAAAGACTTTCGACCGGCTAACTAGCCAAAGTTTACGGCAGTCGTGGTGGGAATCGGTTAGGTGTTAATTTAGCCGCAGACACGTCTAAACTTTGTGGGAAACCAAAACCAATTTATTGGAGCAGTATTATATCGAATCTATAATTTTTATATCTTTTTTATTTGTCTAAATGCATATTAGTCCACAGTTTTGAGAGGTGCCTGCGTTGTTCAGGTTTATTGATTGGTATCTGCTGATTACAAAATTGGTCATATTTGTTAGTTTGAATTGTTACCAGGACTTGAAGGATTTCCCAAAGAGAAAAGCGGGAAGGTGGCTGAACTGAGCCAAGTAAGATCCCGTTTATTTCATTTCACGCTTCGTCTACCATCAAAATGGCCTCCGAGGAACCAAGGTCGAATGCCAAGAATGAGCTCCTTGTTGTCCAGTTTTTACTATGATTTTTTCCAACCCCCGAGTTGCAGTCGTCTGTGAAATGATGACAACTGAGGTTTCATTTTTTCGCTGTCCGCTCAACGCTTTTTAAGCTCGTATGATTTATAAAGATTCAAAGACACCCTATTTAAAATTCACTTCAAGGTACAGTATAGTTTAAGTTATAAATCTTATCTTATTTTTTGACACATCTATTATAATACTAATCACAATTTTTATGCAAGTCTTTGATTTAAATTTTAATTATTCTATATGTATTATTTATGATTTGTTAAGAGTTTCGAGGGTGACGAGGCGGAGAAGGGAAAAGAACTGGAGAAATAAAGCAGTAAGCGACGAGTTTTGGGTGGCAAATCAATTTGCTTAGCCTGGCGCTTAAAACTGAGTGGAGCTACTTCGCCATTCTCCATTTTGTCACTTTGTTCATTTTGTTCATTTTCTCCGGCAGTTCCAGCTTTCCAGCCTTCCATCCCTTTGTCTTTGTCATTGTTGCCGGCGATAAGAGAAGCGGTCAAGTGACCGACGATGCTTCAGCTTCTTTACCGGATTCGGATTGCGCTTCTCTCTATATTCCACAACTTTGGCTGCTGTAGCTATAGCTTCGGTAGCTTCTGTAGCTGCTGCTGCCCGATAAGCGCATACAATATGGTGCGACTACACTGAGAGAAACACGTGCTCAAAAATCTCTACAGTGAGGCTGTAAAAACTACCCAAAGAGTAGGCTTCGAAAAGTCCCAGCAAAAAAACTTCGAAACATTTCAGAAACTCTGAATATTTATTAGAACGGACCTACCGTTCCGAAAATAGTCAGAATTTAATTAGCAGTTTTGTAATTTAATTCCTCGAAAATACCGTTTAAGCCTTTTGTAGGATATTTGTTTCTGTGTATATAAATCAACTATTTTGTCGCTGGTCTGCGTCTTTTTTTACAGTGCACCTGGGATGACCCCAGACCCCGTTCATATTTCAGGCTTGTGTTTATGCAGCTTAACACTTTGGGCCCCCGCTTCCGTAACCCGCAACCCGCAACCCACTACCCCTTCCCTTTCCCATTTCCCATTTCCCGTTCCCCAAAGTTGAAAAGGGAATCCGTTAAGCGGCTTACGGCGGGCAGCAGTCCATCCATTCCAGAGACTTCGCTTCCGACTTTGCAAAGTTTATTAAACATAATTATATAAAATAAAAAAAAAGAGAGGAGCAGCGAGGAACAGCGCGGAGCTAGGCCAGTCGGGTGAGCAAAGTGGCCATTAGCAGGCTCGCGAATGACCAGGTGAGATGCAAGGACATGGATGAGGATGATCCGGATTTGGGACCGGACACGGCCTCCGACGGCGCGGCGCTCCGGTGCTGCCGTTTGGCCCTGTCAATGTGGGGCTGACAGGAGGACTCCCTCCGCACGTACCGGAACATGGACTCCACGATGTTGCTCGGCGTGATCACCTCGCATTTCTCGAGAAGATTCACAGTGCAGGTCTCGAAGTTGTAGATGTCGACGCACTGCTTGGGTCCCAAAACCAACTGCGGCAGATTCCACTCCGTACTGAACTCCTTGGGCAAATAGCCGGCAAAGGATGCGTTGAAACATTCGGCGATGCCGTCGCGACTCTGCGTCAGGCACTCGGGACCCTGTTCCGCAATGAAGAGGGCGATCTGATCCCCGTTCTTGTAGCATATGAACTCCAGCAACTTGTCGGCAATCCTCTGCAGCACCGCATTGTGCGCCTTCTCATCGGCAGTCAGGCATGGGAGGAGCGCGTCGTTGAAGTCCTTCAGACAGGCCTTGGCCTGCGGCATCCTCAGGCAGTACTTCTCGAAGACCACATCCAAATCGCCCTTGGGACTGGCCTCCGCGATCTCCGCCTGGATCTCCGTCACATTGGCCAAGCCGGCGATGCATTCGCCGAGCTTCATGCCTGCCTGTTCGATGGATTGGCTCAGGGCTGAGGCATTCACCGATCCCCGCGGCAAATGGTCATTGGCTTTCTGGCACTTCGACTGCAGCAGCACCCTGAAGTCCGACAAGTTGAGTTTGGTGTCCTGCAGACCCGGAGGCAGATAGTTCGACCGCAACGCGTCCAAATTCACTTTCTCAAGGAGCGCGGGATCCAGGGATCCAGCCAAATCCACGGATCCCCAAACGGCGCAGACCGCCAGGAGGAAAAACAGCGGCAGTACCGACCAGCTCGACATTCTCGCAATGACTGGCCAGCAAACCCGGAGAGCTGGCACTCGTAGCCAGCGCCTTCTTATCTCCAGGGTGCGGGCTCTATTATCCCCCGATTCATAGGGGCGACGGAGGGGTCAATGTCTGAGATTACGGCGCTCCACAAAGACAATCTTCGTTTTGATAATCAGGCGGGGCAAACAACCAACTAAACAGTAGTCCGTATTATGTATCCATTCGATAGACATTCCAAACAAAAATGAGAACGTTTTGTCAGATTTTTTGTTGTATATCAGTATTATAAACTAACAAGTCGATTTTTAATTAGTTAGTTAATTACGTAAGAGCGATCATAATCGAGCAAATAATCGTAAACCTTTTAACCTTTGATAATCATGCAAATAATGGTAAACCTTTTAACCTTTGATAATCACAAAGGGGCTATTTGAATCTCATCAATTAGATCGAACACAACATTCAAATTTTGTTGGCCTATATATTTGGAACACACCGTAACACACCACCGCAGTATACAAAATGTTGTCTCCATGACTTTGGAATATGAGGTTAAAGTTGAAATCCCATATTTCGGTGAGACCCCGAAATAGTTCTATATTCGGCGGTCAATCAAAGTCGGAAGGCAGTCTGCCTGAAATCGGTTTACATAGAAACAACCGCTCCATCGACGGCAGTAGCTACTAAAGCACCTGAACACGCAGTACATGCATACGTACATTTGATGTTGATAAGCCTAGCTGCTGGCAGTCTAGTTCGCAATCTCAATTGGGTTATTGATAATTACTTAAAGCTTAGGGAAATGATGAGAGTGTAATCAAGCGAGAGCATTGACAAGTGGGAATTAGTTGGGCTGTTATCGAGGGAGTTATAATTAGACTTTGAGGAGATTATTGAGTGACACAAGAAACCTAACTCGACCCCACTTTTACCCAACACGGAAGTGTTTGAGATCGATAATTTACTATCAATAATATTATCAAGGTGTGAGTAACCTGACACTCGATGGCAGAGCGATAAGCCCTGTTGATTTTGAGCCCGACAGCTAATCGTCAACTCATGCTCCGTAAGTCGAATCAGATGAAAGTATAGCTAATTTATATGGCCTGTAGCATTTAGAATTGCTGTTTTTAAAACCAGCAGATGCTGACCAAAGAATCAAGCAGAAATAAAACATTTCATCTGACAAGAGCAAGTTAAGGTTACGTTTGTGGGAATGGAACATTGAATACCCTGGCTGATGAGAAGTTTTTAATATTCTTTAATAAACACACATTTATTATCGTTTATTCATACTTTATGTCTCCAATGGTCTGAATTATTTTTCAATAATTATTATATCTATTAGCTTTACAAGTGACGGAGTATTTGTTTTATTTAAAGTTTGTGGGGTAATAAAAAAGCAACACTTGCAGCCGAAAAATACCGACGGGAGCTGAAAACAGGAGCGAGCAGAACGTAACAATTTATCTTCGTTTGTTGCGGAAGTTGCAAGTGCAATAAACAACTTCGGAGGGGGCGTGTCGAGCATAGGGTGCCTGGTACTGCAGATTTTCGGTTAAAATAATACCGAAAATTGCAGCAAACGGAGGAAAAAAACCGAAAAAGGAGGGTGGGAATTCAGTGCAAATTGAAATGAAGCGCGTGGCAGGGATTCCTTAAAAATGAGCACAATTAATTGCTACCCTCTGCTTCGGTTGTGGGTGTGGCAGAGGGCATCACTTAGGCGGGCGGAAGTGGGCGGTGGGTGGTGGGTGGCTTGGCGCTTAGTGGGCGGCAATTAGCTGGCATTTCTGCATTTTCTCTAGGTTGGGTGGTTACAATAAGATTGGGTGTTATTTAGTTGTTTCGGGGTATTTCTTCTTACAATTTGTTTAAGTTTTTCAAGAGTGATTTAAAAAAAATGTTATCTTTCACTTAATATAATTACTTTTGTGATTATTTAAAGTAAAAACCATAGAGTTTTCTAAATAGTGTACCCACATTTCTTTAAACAGATATATGTTTATCAATTTCAATTTTACATTTATAAAAGCGTCTAGAAATTTATTTACTACAATTAATTTCAGCTAAGCTACTTAAATATTGTAAAATAGAATATATTTCTTCCCAAATATTGATGTAGTACTTTCAAAGGCGTCCGACTTTTGGAAAATGCCAATGAAATCTACCCATTTCCAAGAACACATGTTGCTTTTTCTGTGGATCAATACACACACATGTTTGGATATACAGATGGAAAAAAAAGTGGGTCGAATAGTGGGCGGGAAGCTGCAGCGGATGTTTGGCGACCAGATAATTGCAGCTGCCCCTAAACTGAGGGGTCAAAGGGCGGGGAAAAGGATCAAGCGGAGGCCATTTGCCAATTGCTTTGCCAACGTTTCCGTTTCCGCTTTGCCGTTTGCCGTTTGCTCATGTGTGTGTGATACGTTTAGCCAATGATAATGAGCACGAGGATGCTAATGAAGATATAATATTGCAGTGCACGCAAACATAAACATATGCAATATACATATTGTTCCACATAGTGCATAAAAGCAGCCATGTGTGCTCGCTTTAAAGCAAATAATTCATTTCACAATCAAGCGTTGCCAGCGCAGCAAATCAAGGCCTGTCTATCCCGCTCTTGCAGTTGGAAGTCCTCAGGACCTTAGCGATGAGTATGTGTAATTCAAGATTTGAAAAGAAAATTTGTTTACCTAATTAATCTATAAAAGTCTACAAAATTTTAAGTGAGCAATTTTAACGCTGTTGATTCAGACTGGCTATCTGATGCTTCTATTGTTTGGCATTTTAAAAATTCAAAACTAGTAAAAACTTTGCAAAGGCTTATAAATCGGTTAAGTTGTTCACCCAAAAAGGTGTAAATATATTATCTATCAGAGCTCCAGCACATCTCTCGACCCACCAATGCCCCTGTTTAACCCCCTGTTGTTCGGCTGCCAGGAAGACAATTAAATCGAGTGCAAACCACAAATACAAATGAGAAATGCAGCGAATTTTCGGTTTTATCGGCTACGAGTCAGAACTTTTGGGGCTTGCCAGGAGGATATATTATATCCCCTGTATCCCCTGCTTTTCACCACTTTTTGGGAAACTGCTCCACAGGAGACAACAAACAAAACAGTGGCGAAAGAAATGCAATAACTAAAACAAACCGCAACAAAACTTTTGTCAGCCACAGCGTCCGAAAAAGGCCACAAAGCATAATGGCACTTGGCCTGTATAGATAGTGCTTTAAACCGAATTTCTGCAAAAGGGGAACTTTTGCGGAGGCACTACAACGATTGACCAGTGTGCGTGACATTATACATTAGGGGCACATCAAACAACTACTTATATTAAAAATATAAAATTACAATGCAATTGAAATTGTCATTGTTTTTTGTTTTTAATTATTGTTCCAAGAATGCTGATATCGTACCTAAATAAAAAAATAGTCCATAAAGCCCAAAACACACTAAAAAATATCTGATACAATTGCTTTCTCTTTGTTTAAGTTAAATTTGTTCAACAAATCCAAAATAAATAATATGTGAAATAAATAAGAACCCGTATATTCAAGAACAAATTATACCGTACTTCCCACTGAAGGATAAATCTTTTAACCTTTGCATAAATCAATGATTAATGATAAAAAGGAAAACAGAGGGGGAGAGGGATCCTTTTTAGTCCTTTTGTTGGTAATGCGAGTTGGTTGACTGGCGCTAAGATAAAGTCAAATTATTTGTGCTCTGTTTGCTCGTGTGTTGGTTTTTCTTTTCTGGTGTTTGTTTGTTTGCTTTCCCCGGGTTCTTGGGTCCCTGAATTGGTAAAGAGAAACTCTTTCTTTTTTCGAACGCACACTTCACTTCACTTTTTCCCACATCCTTTCAAACACTCGAAGATTGACTGACAGTCGATGTGGTATTCTTGTTGCTGCTGATATCCCGCCACAGGAGTTGGAAAAAGGAATGCGAGGGGATATCCATACACCCGTCGCGTGTGTCGATGATTTTTTGCCGAACTTTTCACTTTGATTTCGTTTGAATTTCCGTAGGTCCGCACAGCAGGCGCTTTTCCCGTTCCCTTCACTTTTCCCCCGTCGCGGAATGCAATGAATTTGAAGAATATTTTCCAGCGTCTTTGACAAACAAAAAGGGGCGTGGTAGTGAAAGGGTCGGAGGATGGGGAGGTGGACCCTCACACAAAGTTTGCATTGCAAATCCAAAACCAAGCGAACGTTTCTTAAATTCTTTAATACCCTATATTCTCGAAAAAGAGTGCCATATAAAGAACACACAATAGATATCATGTGTATATAAATATATTTCTCAACCCTTCTATTAAGCTATCAAAAACTGGCCAAAAATACTACAAAATTGAGTACAGGGCATCCCCGAGTCGTACCCCCACTTTTGAGTTCCTAATTTTTTTTTTCACCGCACGTGGTCGCTAACATTGCATATAAAAGAGAGGGTAGAGTTGGAAAATCAGGGGCGGTGCAAAGGTAGAATCACATGTTTGCCCAAGTAAATCGAGCAGGCCCCCCACTCACTCCCTACTATATGATGCGATAGAATATACCCCTTTCCACTTGGGGAGTTTATTACCGTTTGCTTTGGGCGCCCGCCAACATTTTCGACTCGATGACGGCAAACATTTACATTTACATTTTGCATTCAGATTGTTGTCATCGTTCGCTCGATTCTGTTACGCGGCTTAGGTAACGGGATTTGAGAGTCCCACTTCTTGATATCCCTTCAGACTCCCCCTCTCTTTTGCTTTTTAATCCTTGTAAGACGATTTTGTACAAGTCCAATGTCAGCTTATGGCTCTAATGCTCCACTAATAGCAATATTTTTTTGTCATTTAAAAGTGCCTATTACTCTTAGCATAGCGTGAATTATATTTTTATATTATAAGGAGTTGTACTCACCTAATATGTTAATAGGTGAACTTTGCTTAAATGTTTGTATTTTTCCCGTTCTCCGCCTTCTCTTCTTTCACTTCTTTCTCCTCCTTCTCCGCTTTCTCTTAATTTTTTTTAAACTTTAAGAATTGTATTACAATGGTTTGTAGGGCTACAGTTGTAATATCTCTAGAGGCCCAACGCAGTTTTTTTCAACACACCTTCAACGCTAAATGAAATACTACACTTTAACATTACGGTTGTTTGACATACTTGTATACTTACTTACGCCACAGTTATGTACATTATTGTGCTTTGAATACCGCTTAGGACATTATAGTTATGACTTCATTTCCGTGGCACTACACTAATGCTTAAATAGTTTCATCGTTCCAATTATCAAACATCGCAGCATTTATCACAATTAAATCACAGCCTACAACACCGCTACCTGTCCGCTTGATGTTGTTTTAACTCTGAAATCTTAAGTTGTAAGCTTTCATTGAATAGATAACAGAAAATGTGTGCTTACCCTCTATTTCTCTCTCCTGATCTGATAAAGCACGCTCTCTTAAACTACATTAAGCTCTGATTATAAAAATGAAATGCTTAAAGCAACTGTGAAGATTCCTGTTTAAACAATTATCTTAATTAAGTCAGTAGCGAACTTCATATTGAAAACTTTATACTGAAATATTCCCATTATTCAGTTCGGGCCACGTTACATCCCAATTACCATTTTATCATTGCCATAAACAATACCGCGATCATCCCATTGAATTCTTTTGTTTTCCTCAACCATGTGTTTCAGCCGCTTTTAATAAAACATAACACGATTTACTTTCCGTAACCGTTTTTGTTGCACTTGTTGATGGGAATGCACCTGCCGCCGGAATTCCTCGCGAATCCCTTATTGCAGTAGCATCCATCGGGGCATCGTATATGATTTATCAGACAAGGTTTTCCCAGCGTGGCGCACTCCGTTTGGCAACTGGGTCCACAGGGCAGAAAAGTCTCGTTTTCCGGGCACTCTCTGGGCGCTAGGATTCAAAAACTAGTTAAATGGGGGTATGTTCCAAAGGGGTCGTGCCACTTACTGATGGGAATCTGCGCTGTGACCACAAACACCAGGCAGCAGAAGCTCAGCAGCAGCACATAATTCCGGTGGAGCAACATCGTTGAAACTGGCGAAGCGTCAATGGCAAACTAAACTGATGAGCTCGTTGACAGCGGGTTTTTAAGCCCACTTATGGGTGAAGCAGGCCAGGTACTTTTTGCTTGTGATCTTGGTTCTATTAATAGGTCAATAGTTATCAGGAGCTAAAGTGCAACAATTTGGGCTACAGACAATTTTTATGGTTATCGAATTGTAAATGTTATATATGTTAAATTTAGAGGTACAAAAATAATAATAATATAATATAAGCCTTCACTTTAGTCAATGAACTACAAATCTACAAATTATACATACTAAACAATAATATTATATATAGCCGAACTTTCCGATCCCGAAGAGTCTATTATTTTCAACTGATGGTAAAAAACACTTCTTATCCCTTATTTAGTATGCAGGGCATCCCCTAGTCGACATGGCAAACGAAGATTGCTTTGGGGATCCACTACCGGTTGTACTCCCCACTTTTTTGGGGTAACCACACCGCTTGTTTACAAAAATATGTTGGTGCTTTATTTGATACAACTTGTGGAGAACTACGAAAAACTTTGAAATGTGGAGGTGGATGAGGGGTACCACGTGGATCATCGGGGGGAGCTGCTGCGCCGGCGTCGCTTGTGTCGCTTGTGGGTCTTCTTGGTGGGCGTGCGATGTCGTTGCTGCTGGCGTCGCTGTTCCGGATCTCGACTAGTGGAAAAGCTGCGGGATCTGCTACGCCGGTTCGTCCGTGATATGCTTCTGCTACTGCTCCGCCGTATGCTCCTGGACCGGCTTCTCCCAATGCTCCGCCTTCTCTTTTTGGGACTCTTTCTTCGCTGCGTTGTTTGTTGCTGCGATTTTCTGACCTGGATCGATGATGGCATCTTGGACGGTTTGGTGCTTTTTTGCCGCCGTCGGTGGGACGATTCTCGACTGGAAGCGCTACTGAGACTGCTCCTGTCATTCCGACTTCGACTTCTGCTTCGGCGGTGAGTTTTGCGGTGCCGCGAGCTGGAAGTTCGCGAGGAGGATGTGGCTACCAGCTGCACGTCATCGTCGTCGGAGAGTAGAACGGCAGCAACAGGAGGAGGAGCCCCAGGAGGGAGAACGGGTTTGCTGGTGAAGGTATTCGTGCTATCATCATTCAGCAGATTGTACTTCTCCAGATCGCCGCCATCGTCATCATCGTCGTCCTCCTCGTCCTCATGCATTTCCCTTTCAAGTCTCACCTCAGGCTTCGTATCTCCCACCTCGTCATCGTCGTCGGGTCCAAAGTAGGTAATGGGTATGGAGCGCACAGATTCGTTGGACTCATTGTCACTATCGGCGGCAGTCGATTGGGAAGCTCCTGCCGCCGGCTCTGGAGGATTCGGAGCAGCACCTGAAACCGCAGAGCCCACAGTGGCACACTCACCTTGTGGAAATGAAAAGAATTAGTGACGAGATCTATATAATATTTGGTAGTCCCACCTTTTATCTGATTTAGAAAGGCCATGGCCTTACGTTTTCGTTCCAGTTGCAATTGTTTTTCCCGGGAGATCATCCCGTTCAGCTTCTCGCGGGCTATCTGCGCTAGCTTGTCCTTTACGCGCTCCTCAGCTTTAAGAGAAGGGAGTAATTTATTAAAATAAAGCTAGAATATAGGTTTTTATAACTGGATCTTACCTTGGCGCTGCTCTTTCTGAGGCGAAGAAGAGGAAGAGGAAGCCGTGGAGGAGCTCCCTCCTACCTTCTGGCCGGCAGTCCTTGCCAACAATTGCGTCTCCACCTGCTTGATGGCCCGTTGGACACTGTCTGGCATGCCCGGACGCACTTGCTCCGCCCCGGCAATCGAACTGGCTTCCTCGTCGCTGGCTTCCTGCGGAAGAGTGGGTTGCAATGGACCATGCTCATCCCGAGCGCGAATGGAGAAACTTACAGGAGCTAAAAACATGTAAATTAAATACTGATCTTAGAAACCCTTGCTTTTCCCAGGACCTACCCTTATCCAGATTGTTCCCAGCCGCAGCAGCTGCCGCTCCTCCAAAACTAAGACCCTTCTTTGACATCAAGGCGGCAGCCACAGCGGCCGCTTTGCGAGTCTTCTCTTCCTTGGAAGCCGCGTCCACATCGCCCGTCACCTTGTACAGGTAGTATGCATAGAACTCGGTGGCCGGTAGCAGAAAACTAAAACGCTCCACGCTCTTCGTGCGTAGGGTCTCTTCGAATTGACGACCGTTCTTGATTACGTACGTGGCCGTCTTGTCAATTATGTGTCGCAGACTCTCCTCCGGAACGGGGAACGTCAGCACGGGCTCCTGTTTCTGTGGGATAACAAACATAAAGTGACGAATTTTGGGATTGCGAGTATACCCACCTTTACCAGCTCCTTCTCTTGCTGCACAGGCTCTTCCTCCTCCTCACTCTCGGAGCTGTAGTTCTGGGCTAAAGCCAGAGCACTCGAGTTCTTAAGCAGCTCCACCTGCGGTGGCTCGCCACTGTTGCACTCGTTTTCTGGCTGTTCCTGGACCGTTACCTCCTCCTCGTGGGTGAAGGTACTCCCGTTGTACTGAAGCAGAACGGGCGTAAATTCGCCACCCTGGCTGTTATGACCTTCAGATCGGCAGCTGGGCGTAGGCGAGGCCGTGCCGCCCGAGTGTTGTGAATTTCCTTCAGGATTACTGGACTCATCTTCCAGGAGAACGGCTTGGAGGGGAACGCCCTTGATCTTGCTAATTAGTTGGGTGTATGCGCAGTTAGCGGAGGGTTTGTACTTGATAGTGGGCACCGTGATGACCACTTGGTTGAGGTTCCTCCTTCCTTCCGCGACCTCACCGCTGTGGAAGTCATTTGATTGCGATTCTTGGTCGGGATTCTGCTGTTCCAGCGGAGTTTCCGGAGCGGGCGGAAATTTTGCCGCCTTGATTGCTGCCAAAAGGTGACGGTAGTAGGGCTGTAAGTGGCCACCCTGGGTGAGAAAGTCGAACTGCGCGTTGTTCGCCTGCTTCGCCTTGATCAGGATCTCCATCTGAGCGCCCTGGGTGGCGATGAAGCGAGCCGTCTTCTCGATAATGGCGTGCTGTTTCATCGTATCCGGCTGGAATTTAATTTATAATTTTAATTTATAACATACAAAATTCAGAAGAGGATCTTGAACTTACCAGCTGCATGCCCAACGGAGGAGTCATCATCAGGGTGTAGGGCAGGACGAAGGGTAGCTCGCTATCCTCGGAAGTCGGCGATAGTTGGGAGGGCGCCGTGGAAGATCCGCTGATGGAAGCCGTTGACTGGCCATCGTACTGGAAGCCCACCTGGCTGTAGTTGCCGCCGGAGGTCTCCTGCTGCAGACGCTTGAGGTCCTCCTCTGCAGAATCCGAGCATTGGGCCAAAATAAGAGTAGAGAACACAGAAATTTATGGAACTTTAGTACGGGGGATGAGGAGTAAAATCAATTGCTAATTTGAATCAGAGCGAGAGAAACGTATTCGAGTTGAGGCGAACGAACGAGATATTCATAGAGCAGAGAGAGAGGGAGGGTGCTAGATAACGATTTCGTATTTAGTTTCACTATGGATTCCCTGTGGGCTCGTCGATCGTTGGACTGCCTAAAACAAACTGGTGGCTTCAGCTTATTTAACCTGGAAAAAACGTTTTAATCTGGCAGGTATTGAGGATTTCGTATTTACCTGCTCCGAAAAAGGACTCTCTCTGGAAATATCGATGGGAATGTCGGTGGTTTCTTTATCGGTGGTTGGATTTGATTTGATTGGTATTGCTTTGATTCAATTTGGTTTCGATTTGCGTTTGGGTTTGATCGTTTCTTGATACTTGCAGTACTTGTAATACAATTCACAATTTGAGGATTTCGGGATTAGGGGTGTCGACATCGTTACGATAGATATGTAAATGTTAGCAAACTGGATTTACACAATATAGTTAAGGCACAATTATATCAAATAAAATAAATTAAATTATTTGGATTTAAAAAAAATACATTTTAAAGCGAAAAGTTTTCTATTTTCTGGTGACAATTCTTCACAAATAAAAAATATGATATCAGGTCTCGTAGATATCAATCTGCGAAGTATTCTGCCACTGATTTTACTATTACTGTTTACAATGGTTTAATTTCCCGTGCAATGATAATTTATTGATAATAATACCTCTAGGGGGAATATTAGTTTAGATATTATTTGGTGACTTATGGAAATGAATTCTAAACAAACAAATGAATTTCAAACTAAATGTCAATAATTGTCAGAGATTTCTAGGACTCTACCGCACAACTTCACCCCAAGACCAAAATCCATATGGATTATATCGACACCCCTGCCCGGATAGGTGGATCTGGAGGTATTACCAGATGACCTTAGCACTCACCTTGACGCAGTCGCAGCTCCTCCTCGTTGTTGTAGAGGAACAGGTAGCGCTCCTCTTCGCAAAGTTGCTCGGCGCGCTGTTCTTCGGCGCTCAGATACTCCAATCTGTTGCCATATCCACCTGGTGGCGCTTCGTGGGGCGCCAGTTCGCAGAGCGCGCCTCGCACATCGTATCTGGGGTTCAAAGGTCGCGGTATAGACGGTTTTAATGGAGCCGAAAGAGAGCAAGCAGAGAAATATAAACAGAGAGGAGACGGAGGAACATTATCAGTGGGCGTAGCAATTCCAGGAGCGGCGCGAAAGGGGGCGGGCGAAACAAACGGAGGGGCAGCTCCTTAAGAATCTCCCAGCCCTAAACAATCCCCATTTGCTTCGCACACACTCGCGCAGGTACACAATATTCATAGTCATACGGTTTTCATATATATATATATATAATGCAGTTTCAGATTAGATTAGGTTTTAAGGCTAGAGATCGTTCATATACATACCGCTCCGGTGGCTAAAAAGTTAATCGGTTTACATTTAAAATGGTCAAAGAATTACAGTTTTCAAATTGTATATGGATAGAGATTACAGTTTGAGAAGCACTGAAAAGAGCTGTTATTACAATGGTGTGTATGTGTTGTGTTGTGTGGGTGTGTGTCTTGTGTTTGAGTGTAGATCAGTCAAAAGTCCTTATTAGTACAATTGCGGTCAAAATACTAGTGGTGATTGACTAGTTTGGAAAAATTAAAATATAACTGCTATCGATCTATAATAACCCAAAAAACCATATGCTAAAATTGTGAGAGTTATATAGAAATTCGAGTTTCAAATTATGGATACAGAATACTACGAATATTTATATTTATAAACTATAGGAATTTAGGTTTCTTTTTACGAAAAAATCTGAAAAAGTCGCACTTCATTTTTATCGAATTTATTGGATTGGAAAGTCTCAATTTCGAAGTTCTATCATTTTGATCTATGATTATTGAAACTTCATAAAGGATGTTCAGAAAACACTATTTTAACAGTAAGTCCATACAATTGTAGTTTGTATTGGTGTTTGTAACTTCCCAATCAATTCTGATAATGAAATTCTAGGTATAAATATTAATATTATGGAGAAATACTTCGCTTTTCGTTTAAAATTCAATAGGGAATGGTAGGAATATTAAATTGTTCTAATATTTCTATGATCATTCCGTTACTTGTTGAACAGAGTGGATTGGTTCTCAAGAGACAATAGGTAGTTTAATGGTAATTTTTGAAGGCTTTCGGAACTTAATGAAGAAATAGTTATTTCTTGTATTTTTATGATCATTGATTATTACTTATTCGTAATGCAATTTGAAAAATGGCGAAGTACCAAGAACTTGTCTAATTTATTGTGGTTACTAGTAAACAAAGTTTTGAAAGACCACGTGAGTGAATGTTTTCAAAGACGTGTTTCTTGAATTTCTAAAATTCCAGCTTATAGCATTTTAACCGCTGCTGTGAATGTAAGTGTAGGTCCTAACGGGACACAATATGGGCATATGTATGGATGTGTGTATGTAGCAGTGGTGTGCGTACTGATTAATCGTATAATTAACGCTCGGGTTAGTCCCAATTATTAACCTGTCTATTTTGAGATTTACATCGCCCATCCAGGGAATTAGCTGCTTGCCGTGGTCCATTTCACGGGCCTTCTCGTCATCCCGGAAAATCTTGCAGGCGTAACCAAAAACGAGGAGTTCCAGCGGCGTTTGTCGTTGGTTTTCTAGGTTGGAGGAGGATCCTCCGACTCCAGCTGCTCCCGCAGTGCTTCCATTGCTCAGCACTGTGGACCCGGATCCGGATCCATGGCCCGTGCGGCGGAGTATTCCGCCAACGCTGCCGCCACCGGCGTTCCGCACATTGTAGGGCATCATTGCGGGTGGATAAACAGGACCAGTGATCCACTTCAAGTGCTCCGAACTCCACTCTCTCTCTCCCGCTCGATCTCTGTTTCGCTCGCTCTCTCTCAGGCGGCTCACTCACTTCCTACGGATTCAAAACTAGGCTCGTGTCCCAGTGGATCCCTTTTAACGCCAGGAATTTCGATAATTTCTTTTCATTATATTTTTATTTTGCGTGCGAAATAAATGCTTTTGCTGCTGTGTGACCAGATCCCGGGTGTGCTTCCTCGTTTTGCACATTCACCAGGGTGCGGTGACAAATACCAAATGAAAAAAAATACTAAAAACGTAGTGAGAAATACCAACTGGCGGTCTTTTTGAATATTTGCTGATATTGGAATTGAAAATTAACTTATTTATTGATCAATTTATTTATTTACGTACATATTTATTACTTAGAAAATCAAAATGGTTTTTAAAACGGGAAATTGTATTTGTTTTTGTATTTTAGACTCCCAGCAGTTTAATATTTATGGGTGCAAAGAAATATATGTAAAACTGCTGGGATATCTATGAAATCATAGGCATGTAAATATACAAATTTCAGCCAAATTCATAATTTTCACGTTAAAAAACAATGTTGTAAAAATGAAAAAAGAATAAAAGACAATGCTTACTGACCATTTTAATTTATTACCTTGTTTTGAACATAATATGAAAAAGAAAAACTACATTTTTAAATTGCATAAAATCTTTAAATCAAATTCTACGTTTTGCAACTTAGAGCCGAGTTAAAATTTTCCTTTACACCGCCCTGTGGCTCAGTCAAAAAAAGCACGGATCTCATGTGATCTTCTCAATTTACCCGTAAGCTTTATTTGAGCCTAATCCTTGGCATTTGGGAACTTGAGGGTTCGCAGTTTGGAGTAGATGATGTCCCAGTCGACGTAGGCGCCCACCAAATGGCGTTTGTTGCCCGGCGCATCCTCGTAGGCCGTTCTTCCGTGCAACATGCGCAGGTTATTGAACACAAAAACATCGCCAGCTTGCGTCTTAAACTCCACGGCCTCGGATTGGGCAATAGCCAGGAATTTGTCATAGGCATTGTACCAGGACACAGCCTGTTCCAAGGAAACTGAAAAGCGACTGTCGCGCTTGGTGGTGTTTTGATTAACCCTCGCGAATCCGCCGTCTGCATCTAGACAAATCACCGGGGCTCTCCAGAGGCTGTGGAAGGGCTTGGAGTCATCGCCATCGTGTCCAATGTCGAACCAGTTCACGGGCACCGACCTAAGTACTTCAAAGTCCTGCGGATGCTGCTTTTGCAGCTGAGAGGCAACATAGAAGCCATCTGTGAGGGTGTTGGCTCCGCCCTTCGATTCCGACTGGACGAGTGTGTGCAGGATGTTGATGCCCGCCTTGTATTCGTAATATGGCATGTCCGTGTGGAGCGGTAGGGGAGTCATCAAATAGGCGTAGTTGCCCGCATTTGGTTTCGATTTCACCTCAAAAACATCGCTGCGGGATAATAAGGACACGGTTGGAGTTAAGTAAGTATGTTCTGATTTCAATAATATTTAACCACATTTAACATAAATTTCCCAATAGCAGGTTATAATCAAAAACAAAAGAGAAAGCTAACTTTGGCAAGCCAGAGTGTATGTACCCTTGCAGTATAAAAGGGAATATACAAATGAATCTGAACCTTTTATTTAAGCTATTTGTACTATCGTAAGTACTATCTTAAAATCCCCATCAATTTCCACACCTGGCTGGGAATCAAAATACCAGCAAATATGGCATGATTCTTACTGTAATAATCAAACAAATGCGATAATAAATGGTAGATTGTAGATAATAGCCATGAGCTCTTGGCAAAACATGAGTATTAGTCTTTTAAAATTGAATGTTATAAATGTGATGAACTAGTTGTATCTAGCGTGATCTCAATCTTAACTTAATGGTTGATCAATTACCCGTAGGTGGTGCGCTTGATATATCCGATCCTTTTGGCCAAATGCTTGGCCACATTGATATCGTTGGGAGCCCCTTTCAGAATGGCGAATCCCTGAACGGCCAGTGCCTCCAGCCAATCCTTGAGCACTGCTTTCTGCTGAAGAACGTCCTGATATTGGAATTCTCTCCTCACAGCCTCAAAATCCGACTTTCCCCAGAGTTGTGCGGGTGGTTTGTACACCTCCTGCAAATACCGCTTTCTGGCAGCCTCACCAAAGTCCCTTTCCCGCAGCCAAGCGATGTCAAAGGTGCTCCGATGCTTGTCCTGCCAGATGACCTCTAACTGCTGCTCCTCCTGGTTAAAACCCACTTGGGACACTCCAATATTCAGTGGTCCACGCTCCCAGTGACTTTTTCTGGCTCTCGTGGCGGAGTGGAAGCACCCGGCACACTGACAGTTGTCTCTCAGCCAAACTTGTGGGTATTTTAGGGGACTGCCCTGCTCTTCCTGCACTTCCACATGGCCGGAGGATGCGTTCACACGGGCCAGTGTGCTTGATTTCCTGAGGGGGAGCAGCCGGGAAATCAGTTGTCTACAGCTCTTCATTGCGGCTTCTACTGGCAAACCATCGACAAAGTAAGAGTGGCGAACTGAACTGTCTGATAAGCAAAGCTTCATCTTATCGCTGACCGTTTTCTCCCGGGAGAGACACCACTTGCACCACAGATTGCGGCTGCTCCAGCCAGCAATCTCCGCGATTGTCCGCAGGAAAGCTTCGCCGGCTCTGGCAAAGTGAGCACTCCAAAAACAGGCAGATCCTTTCGGTTTCAGGCGGTCCACTGCTTGTCCTTGACTCCTTAGTTTCATCGCTCTTTTCGGGCTTCTTGCGCCGCCTGCGATGACGTTTCTTCTTGGTTTTGGCTTCCCCGTTCGAGGAAGCCTCTGGAGGAGTCGCCCCTTTGGGATGCTTGGGTTCCCCGGCCACCTGGAGCTCCGCATTCACTCCGGGAAGCAGGGGAAGGGAGCAACGTCGACACAGCGAGCGCTTTAAGGCCGGAGCCCTAAAAACCAGGTATGAGCAATGATTAGGGACTTATCTTCTCGCTGCGAAGCCACTTACATGTGCATCACGGTTTTGGTGCCCACATTGCGGCAAACTTTCCCATAATAGGCGGCCAGTTTTGCTTGGTTGCCTTCGGCCATTAAGTTGGACGCCTGGAAGAGGAAGTTCATCCGCGAGTATACGTGCCGCTGGGCCAGCAGCTTTTTCTTATTGTCCTTGGTCATGTTTTGGGGTGTTTCACGTAAACTTTGTCGGTTCTCTCGACTTCCCGTCTATCTTTTCACTTTCAAAACACATGTGTGCACCGCAGTGTGACCATTGCCGGCGCGGAAATTCACCGATTTTTAAATTAAATATTCATAGAATTCAAAATTTATTCACAACATATTAACTGTCTTTGATTTTTATAAAAAAAATTAAATCTTAAATAACAATTGCATTCAACATGTTTACAACTCCTCGAAAACTCACATATAACTAACATGACAATGGGTCAAAAAGTTGATCACCGCTAAAATGAAAATTTTGAATGCAGATTTTTAGAGAATCAAACCACAAGTCTTAAGAGGTATGCCACTTTGAAATCGGATTAAATTTGGTCAAGTTATGGACTCTGGAAGTCCAATTGTGGGTAACCTTTCTACAACTCCTCGAAAACTCACAAATAACTAACATGAAAATGGGTCAAAAAGTTGATCACCGCTAAAATGAAAATTTTGAATGCAGATTTTTAGAGAATCAAACCACAAGTCTTAAGAGGTATGCCACTTTAAAATCGGATTAAATTTGGTCAAGTTATGGACTCTGGAAGTCCAATTGTTGGTAACCTTTTTACAACTCATCGGAAACTTACAAATAACTAACATGAAAATGGGTCAAAAAGTTGATCACCGCTAAAATGAAAATTTTGAATGCAGATTTTTAAAGAATCAATCCACAAGTCTTAAGAGGTATGCCACTTTAAAATCGGATTAAATTTGGTCAAGTTATGGACTCTGGAAGTCCAATTGTGGGTAACCTTTTTACAACTCATCGGAAACTTACAAATAACTAACATGAAAATGGGTCAAAAAGTTGATCACCGCTAAAATGAAAATTTTGAATGCAGATTTTTAGAGAATCAAACCACAAGTCTTTAAAGGTATGCCACTTTGAAATCTGAATAAATTTGGTAAAGTTATGGTCTCTGGAAGTCTAATTGTGGGTCCCCTTTTTACAACTCCTGGGAAACTCACAGATAACTAACATGAAAAGGGGTCAAAAAGTTGATCAACGCTAAATTAAAAATTTTGAATGCAGATTTTTAGAGAATCAAATCACAAGTCTTTAAAGGTATGCCACTTTGAAATCGGAATAAATTTGGTCCCCTTTTTACAACTCCTGGGAAACTCACAGATAAATAACATGAAAATGGGTCAAAAAGTTGATCACCGCTAAAATGAAAATTTTGAATGCAGATTTTTAGAGAATCAATCCACAAGTCTTAAGAGGTATGCCACTTTGAAATCGGAATAAATTTGGTCAAGTTATGGACTCTGGAAGTCCAATTGTGGGTAACCTTTTTACAACTCCTCGAAAACTCACATATAACTAACATGAAAATGGGTAAAAAAGTTGATCACCGCTAAAATGAAAATTTTGAATGCAGATTTTTAGAGAATCAAACCACAAGTCTTAAGAGGTATGCCACTTTGATATCGGAATAAATTTGGTCAAGTTATGGACTCTGGAAGTCCAATTGTGGGTAACCTTTCTACAACTCCTCGAAAACTCACTCGAAATATGCCACTTTGAAATCGGATTAAATTTGGAAAAGTTATGGTCTCTACAAATCCAATTGTGGGTCACCTTTTAATAAACTATAACTCTGTCCGCAAGGGTATAAAAATATAAATAAATAAAAAGTGATCGATTCCGGGTGAATGGCTTTTCATGCCAGCTAGCGGCTGGTCACACTTAAACAGCCAGCTGTTTCCCGCGTTTTTGATTCGCGAATTGCAATTGGCGAAAGTGCAGCGGGAGCGGAAAATCGCGCAAGCCATAAGAAAAACAGCAAAATGCAACGCCTCCCAGTCATCTAGAAGTCACACTCCGCTTACCACAAACCACTAAAGAAGCCTTAAGCCCCTAAAACCAACGAGATCCCCAGTGTTTTGTTAGGATCACACACTCGACGCTCTCGCCAGGATTTACGATGTTTGTGCAGGACCTGCGCAACGATTTTTACCGCCAGCTGGTGGGCAAACGGATCTTGATCGTGGTCAACTATGACATCGATGCCATCTGCGCCAGTCGCATCCTGCAGGCTCTGTTCAAGTACGACCATATGCTCTACACAGTGGTGCCCATCATGGGCGTCACTGGTCTGAAGCGGGCCTACGGGGAGCACCAGGGTGATGTGAAGTACGTGGTGCTGGTTAACTGCGGCGGCTGTGTGGATATTGTGGAGCTGCTGCAGCCGGCTGAGGATGTGACCTTCTTCATCTGCGATTCCCACCGTCCTTTGGATGTCTGTAATATCTACAGTGATCGGCAGGTGTGCATCCTGGGGGATGCTTCCCTGGAGGAAAACATTCCAGCCTTTGAGACCATATTCTACGACTCTGAAGGGGAGGATGAAGATGAGGAGGAGGGCGAATCCTCCGACCAGGAGCAGGGAAACAATGACAGTGGTGCCGGGGAATCCGACCAGGAAGATCATGCGCCGCAAAAACAAAAGCTCAGTCGCCTGGAGCGGCACGAGCAGAGAATCCTGCGGCAGCGAGCCCGCCGGCAGTGGGAATCGGAGCGCGACAGGATCATGTTTGAGTACACTCAGTTCAGCTACTACGGCAGATCCGCCTCCTTGCTGGTTTTCGAGCTGGCCTGGAAACTCTCGAAGGACAACATGGACCTACTCTGGTGGGCCATCGTGGGCATCACAGAGCAGCTGCTGCTGGGGAAAATCGAGAGTGGATCGTACACTTTGGAGCTGGAGCAGATCCAGTCGCATGTGTCGCGGCTGACAAACAAGACGAATGACCAGAACACGATGAGTGCCTCGAAAATCAGTTTCGAGAATGACTTGCATCTGGTTTTGTACCGCCACTGGCCGGTCACGGAGTCCATGAGGTGAGCACAGGAAGCATAATCCCTTATGGATCAACCTTGTCAGTAAAACCATGTTATTTCTTGCTACTACAGGTATTCCCGCTACGCCTCATGCCAATTGAAACTGTGGACGCTGCGCGGCGAGAAGAGACTGCACGAACTACTGCTCGAGATGGGATTGCCCTTGGTGCACGCCCGCCAAACGTACGGAGCCATGGATTTGGTTCTCCGGAAAGAGTTCTACTCGATGGTGGAGCGCCTAGCAGAGAAATACGACATACCGGACATTGTCTATGGAACCTTTACCCTGAGCTACGGCTACCGGAGCAGATATGCTGCGGCGGACTACGTATACGCCCTGCTGGCCATCATGGAGTCTGTGAAGAAGCACAAGACACCGGAGGATTGCTTTCTGGAGGCCTTCGATGCTCTAAGTCGCCAGCACAAGCAGCTCTTGACGGCGGGAATCGATCAGGCGAAACTCCTGCATGCCGCCGTTTTTAGGCAGGTGCAGAGCAGCCTGGAGGCACGCCAGGTGCACTCGGCTGGGTCCTTTTTCTACTATGTCCTGCAGGAGGAGCACGCATTCTTCTCATACCCATATGCCCTGGGACAGCTGGCCCGCTTCCTTTTGCGCGGACATGTGGCGACGAGTAGAGCCAGACAGGCGCCGGATTTGCCGCTGATCGCTAGCTGTCCTTTGGACGCGGCCCAGGGCATGTGTCTGCTGGTTGGGATCGCCCCGGTCAGGGAGGATTCTCCGAGGACCTTTTTTGGCAAGGCCTTCGAGCAGGCGGCGCAAAAGAGCGGCGTTGCCCTGCTGCAGGATTTCTTTGAGCCTGCTGTGGTGCAGCTGCGACAGAGCGACCTGACCCGCTTTCTAGATGCCCTCACCGTGCTCCTCACCTGATCCACATATTCTTCATCCTGCTACCCACATCCCTGCTCAATCATATATATGTTCTAAGCTAATATTTAAGACGAGAGACCTTACATGTACACTTAAGCTAAGATTTTAAGCAAACCCTATTTATGTGCGATTATAATGTGTTATTGACTTCGAAACTGCGCCCAGGACCCCAAGAATATTGCTTAAGAAATGATTTTTTTTCTAAAACTATTGTTAATCTGACCAGAATAAATTGCGTATATGTTTAAAGTGTTTACCATGGAGTTTATAGTTTTTGTGGAATCAATATATCTAAGTATAAACAAAATAATTTTTCGTCATTCCATAATGCTAACTAGGTATAAGAATGAATTGGTTCTTTAAGTGTGCACTATACTTTCTGGCTCACGATTGGACATTGCCCAGAGGAACCATCAGCTTACTAGGTTTCCCACTTGCGTTTGCTGTGCCTCAATGCTTTTCTTCAGAGGATCTGCGCTGAGGATGCGGGCGGAACCCAAACAAGCCGTTTCATCATAGAACACGGCATATTGTCCGGGCGTAATAGCTCTTAAAGGAGCATCCAACTGGACTTGGAAGTTGTTTTCCGGGGAGATCTTCATGCAACAACCCACCAACGGTTTGGTGTGCTGGAAACGAAAGCGACACCGTAAAACGCCCATTTCTAAAAGCCTCCTTTGGGACTCCGAACACAGCCAGTTGGGTGGATCGATATGAATCTGAGTGCTGAACAAGGCGGGATGTACGTGGCCAGCTGCCACATATATAGTATTGCTGGATGCCCCTTTTTTGGCCACAAAATAGGGCTGCAGGAAGGAACTCAGGCGACAACGTTGCCCCACGGTCCACTGATGGATGCCCTCGTGGTGGCCAACCACTGCTCCACTATCGATGTCTACGAAGGGACCATTTTTGGAGGTGATGTACTGCAAGAGCATGGTGAAACGATCGGAAAATGTATAGGAAAATCTCGGAAATTCGGTAAAACTTTGATGTTGTGGGAAAAAGTTGAACTTGGTCTTTTTACCTCTCGTATAAACTCCTTGAAGTTGCGCTTCCCCACAAAACAAATGCCCGTGCTTTCTTTCTTGTTGGCCAGCCGTTGGAGTCCAATCTTGGTGGCCAATGCCTTGACCTGACTTTTCTGAAAATCTCCCAAAGGAAACATGGTGCGTTGCAGTGAATTACGGGGAATTCCCGCCAAAAAAAATGTCTGATCCTTGAAGGCATCGGCGGGTATTAACAGACGGGCTTCTTTTTGCGGGGTGTTCGATTCCAGAAAGTTGCCCAAACTGTTGCGGGCATAGTGACCTGTGGCCACAGCATCGTAGCCGAGATTCTCCAAGGCGTGCTTGTGGAATAGGTCAAACTTGATGTGCCGATTGCACAGGATATCCGGATTTGGGGTCAATCCCTGTTGGTAATCCTCCAGGAATTGGCTAAATACCGCCGTCCAGTATTCGCGCACATAGTTCACCTGGCGTAACTCCACGCCCAGTCGCCGGCACGCCCACTCCGCGTCCCTGAGATCCGCCTCCCCGCTGCAGCGACCCACTTCATCCATTTCATCCCAGTTGCGCATGAAGACTCCCAAAACATTGAATCCTCGTTCCCGCAACAGGTGGGCGCTAACGGCGCTGTCCACGCCCCCCGACACGCCCACCACAACATTGCGGATCATCCTTTTCAGTTATAAAACAATAGTATTCAAGTTATATGGTGCACATTGTTCGGCAGAAACAGCTGTGCGTATGGTGTGGCTGCATTCTTTTAAAAACAGTACTTTTATTAATTATTAGTATTATTTTGTATTTCTTCTTGGAGATTACAAATGTTCGTTTTTCGAACTACACATTAGTCCTTCGGGTTTTAAGTCCACATATCTTGGGTAAAACATTTAAAATCACTTTACTGACAATTCATGAGAGTCATACAATGTAATGCATGTGTGAATGTCTTGAAAGTGTGAATCGGACAACTCCTTATTTGGGAATCTTTAATGTGATATCAGCATTATCATAAAGGTAAATCGTCTATCTAGAACTATTTAGGAATATGCTTTTATTTAACGATTTGAATTTTAAAGTTTATTTTGAAAATATATCGCTTTTTGAAAAATAACCTTTCTTACGTGACAAATATGCTAGAAATCCTTATCGATATACTCATTCTTTCGTTTTATGCGAATGCTTTTTTTTACTTCTCCACGGTCACACTGCAGCCCATAGCTTGTTAGTTTTTGTCCGATTTTGCCGCGTCTGGTTCCAAGTTGCGGAGAGTTCGGAGCCCCATTACGGACACGTCTGATTTTGTCCGAATTTCGTACTATAAACGTAGCTGGATTGCAAATTTGCGAGTAAGCCAACAAAAAACTAAAGTCTTTTTTTCGAGTGAATGTGCGTGTGTATATGTGTGCGTGAGAGAAGCGTCATTTCTTGTTGCACCGTTCGGTTCTTAACCGTTGCTTTTAAGCGTCTGCTTTGGGGACTTCGCTTGGTTCGATTTCTGGGAATTCCAGAATATCCATTCGAGAACTTTGATCGCTGGAGATCTGGGATTGTTACTAGGCGAAAGGGTTTGGAACTCGCCTATGTGGTATAGTCATCTGATTACAATTTCCAAATGTTCTTAGTTTACTCTAACGTAACCTAAAAAAAAAGCATTTTCCTAATTTACAGAACAAAACAGACATACGTATGTATGTGTGTATGTATGTATGTATTCTAAACTGTTTATAAAACTAGGCATTTTTGTTCTCAAAACTTGATTTAACGTTTTTATACAGTGTTTTTGAAGTTCAGATCAGTTTTTAACGTCGTCATGGACACTTTTCCAAACCTATAAAATATATGCTTATATTCTTGATCAACACTACTAGGAATGCCGATCTAGGTAGGCTCCTCTAAACGTCTGTCTTGTCTAGTCTCTCAGTATGAAAGCCTTCTGGATGAAACTTTCCCAAAAGTATTCTTTTTATTGTATATATTAAATATATGGATAGGAACGAGCCGAACTATATTATATGTATATGTAGCTGCCATAGGAACAATCAGAAAAATAAATGAATTAAGCTTACATGTCAGGGGCAATATTTCAACGAGAATTACTGACAGTCCAAAAGCGACCAAAAACCGAAATGCAAATATTTTCATGTGGGAGCGCAGATAAAAACGACCGGAAAAATTGGGAAAACGTATTGCTTCAGGGCGACACATATGAATTATTGGCTTCCACGCCTCCTGCCTAGAGCGCTTTTCCGCCTATTACACAAAAAAAATAGTTTTCAGACCAAACAGATTTTTACAATTTTAGAATATTTTCATTAAATGATTTTAGTGTAAATCATTTTTTTCTAGGTTCATTATAAGTGAGTAATTTTTTGTATTTTATTCTTTCCTTTTCCACAGGGGAATAGCTTTTCCAATAGCTTTCCCAAAATTAAAAAAATTATATGTTCACAGATCACCTGTATTTCCTTAAATTCATTGCTAACTTATCAATTTTTTTAAAGTAAATCCCGGTTATAATTATATGTTTCTATCGGTCTCGAAATGATATGTAAACTCTTCAAATTAATCATAGTATTAGTATATTAGTTTTTCTTTCTGTGTTGGTATTGCGCCTTGGTCAATTTGGGAGTGTTGCGGGGTTTTTATTAAATTAAAAATCGCTGCTCTTCTTAGCCACATGTCGTCCCTTGATCCTGGCTAAGAAATGAAAAAGGGAAGGCAATTAGCCCAGTTCAAAGTGGAGAGGAGGGAACCAACAACAGGGTAAGAAGGCTAATTAAAATTACGCCAAATACAATCAGAGAGGCGGGGCAAGAAAGTAAAAGAGCAGGGTCAACAAATCTTGTTGCGTTAATTGCAGGCCAAGACTCCACTTTTGGCCAAAAGCCGTGGACGTGTCCCAAAAAGTTGAGAGCGGAGACGATAGTCACGGAAGTTAAGTTATAAATATTTAAATATGTTACTTTAATGTGAAATATATTAATCCTTGTGTTTTTAATAAATTTTGACAGGGGTGTTTGTTATAATTTTTAAATATATTTTATATTGGTTCAAACAGAATCTAGAAAAATTCTTAGGTTTTCACAAACTTCCTCAATATTTCGAATCGTTATTAAATGCTTCCATGAATTTGTTACCTTAGCGTGGAGTATTTAACTTTATGAAACATACTATTTGAATGGTTTAATAATATAATATATCGATAGCTTATTTGAAAGTAGATATCCAAAATCACTAGCCCATCTCTGCCAGAAATTGTCTCCGGATTCTGGATTATAAATCCCATTCCCTGCCCCCGGCCCCCAGCCCCCAGCCCCCGGACTCACCCCTTTGTGCCCACGTTGGCCTCAGCTGTCAGTCTGTCAAAATGTGTAGCATACTTATTTGGGGTCGCCCGGCACTTGAGAAAAGCGGGCAAAGTGCGGGGTAAAGCTACCTCGCCTGAAGAACTGAAGAAAACAACGTAAAAATGTGGGAAGATGGAGTGATGGGGACATTTGTCAGGGCTTATATAATTTGGAGTGCAGCCATGTTGACGCCAAATATAAGCGATTAAGTGGGTCGGTGGGTGGATGCAACTGCATCCGAACGGAAGCAATTAGAGAAATGGCGGAGCATTCGAGAGTTTTCACCGGAACGAAAAAAGTTTCGCTGGCCGAAAGCAATTACACAAAGAGATAAACAAATAGCTAAACAAATATACAAAGATATCATTAATCAAGCGGGCGAAAGATGAAAAATGATTGGTTCCGGGAATAAAACAATCTTCAGAGATATAAAAGCAGAAATATGCTGGAATATTCTTGATTTTTTGTTGGGTTTTGCTGCATCTCTGACTAAATGCGCTTAATTTAAATTTCTGGCAGCTTCAAACCCACAAAGCAACAACAAACACAAGCTAAGAAAGTGGAAATTGTTTTCCCCATTTTCCCTGTTCCTAAACCCCTTTTCCGGCTTTTCGCTCTTTTATCCTTTCCTTATTTCGACTGTTTCCGAATTGGCTTTACGCGCTCAAAACAAAACAGAGTTTCCGCTAAATTATGTTTGGGCGAAAAGGAAAATGGGGGAAAAAGAGTTATAAAGTACTGTGGGTCCTCAAATTTCTTCAGCATCCTCGAAAGAAATAAAAACTGGAAACTCCCAGGAGACGTGGCTCCTTTCCTTTGTTAGAGTTTTCTGATGATTCATTGCCCTCCAGCTTTTCCTATAAAAATGCTGAATACGAGCTACACGTTTAATTTCATTCGGTTCATAAAAAACTTTTCGAGATCTAAAGAGTTTGTGAGGTTAGGTCCTGAACAGAAGAATTAAGAAACAAATGGTAGAATATATCGTTATTTAGGAACCAACACCAAAAACAGCTATACAATCTTGACAATTCGATAGTGATTAGAATTTAGTATAGTTCTAGGTGTGGATTACCATTAGTTTGTTTTGCAGTGTAACTTTTTATGTGTGTGTGTGTAAACTAACGCAAATTTACACACATTGGCGCTCAGCCCATACATACATAGCAATGCAGGCTGCCTTGGAAAATGCAATTTAAATCATAAAATATAATTTTCATTTAATGAATTGGATCATGTTACAACTTGTCAGCCCAGTTTCTCATATGTGTGTGCACAAAAACGAACACATAAATGTATGCCATATTTTACATGAATGAATCGCAAAGGCAGCAAAGTGGAAGAATTTGCAGCTTGCGAAAATCTTTTGGTGCGAAAAAGTTTGCCAATGCAGCGGAGGAAACCTTTGCTCTTCGTCTTCGTGCTACGCCCCCACGCCACCACCCTCCATTCCCGTTATCAACTTGATTGAGCCGAAAGCAGCTTTTAGCTCTTGGCCAAAGAATTCCGCAATGAAGTCGTGTAAAAACCGACAAAAGGAATAGCTAAGATTGAATGGAAGGACGTGAGCGCAGACACTGAAAGAAATATAAAACTTCTTTATGTTGGGTTGGCCCTAAGTAAGAATTGAAACTTGGTGGTATAATTTATAAGCTCTATAAGATATCTCGAATAAAAAAGCTTTTAAATGCATTTACCAAAAATGTATCAAGTCACGAGACCTTATTAGAACTAGAAAATATTGTTTCAACTATGCATATCTGCGATTGTATTTAGATAAACAATGGCTTAAGTGCGGCTATATCAAAATGTTTTTCATTTAAAGTTTTTTTTTTTTTTGCAGTTTTACTGTGGTTTTTACTCAGTGTGCTCTCGGCTTATGGGCATCTATATCTGTGGGTTGGCCTAATCCCGGCCAGGCGACATTGGCCCGCTTGTGGGTTATGCAATAAGCTGTTACCCATTTCCTGTCCCGGTGCTCAGGTGAGCGACTTCCGAGTGGAGGGCTCAAAAAAATAAAAGTGCACCACAATGACAAGTATCCTATAACGGGCGCTAGATGGTGGCCTTGCTTGTCCTTATTCATGAACCACCACCCATCGCCCACCCACCCACAACCACCCACCACCGCCCACTCCCCACAAGGTCTCGTCATGTTCCATGTTGTCCTTTTGGGGGCTGCATTGTTTGGGAAACTGGCAACAATAACCGACGGCGACAAAGAAATGCAGAAAGAGAATGGCAGCAAGAGCAGAGGAAAATCGACAAAAACACACACAAAAGCATATATTTCGGCAAAGTGTAATCCAAGTGGTTACCCCCAAAAAGCAGGCCAAAAGTGGGTGGAGGGATTTTATCTTATGGCATTAGCCAGAGGTCTTAAAATGGTTGAAGAAAACCTAGCTTTGCTTAATTAGCTTCAATAAAGGAGCTATATTCTCGTTCTCCCAAAAGTTAATTTCATTTAATGAAAATGTACGATCCAAAGTACATACACTCACTCGCATATCTCTGCGTACACCCCAAAAAAATTTCAAAATCTAACTTTAAACCCTAGCTGTTCGGCCATTTATGCATATATTCAACCCATTCTTTTTTTTAAACATAATTATAATTTATTGTCTTCATTGACGTATTTTTTTTTAAATTATTCAACAGTGTTTTATATTTTATTTTTAATTTTAAACTTAACACTACCAAAAAATGTACCCGCAAAAGTCTGCGTACACCTGTTTAAAACACAAATAATATTATTTTTAGTAACTGGTAGGGTATCCTTTTCTCTGCAAAACTTCCGTAAGGCGTCTCGGGATGGAATCCACTTTTTTTTTGTCTCATTTGCAGTAATTTTCCCCTACTCCTCGAGAATCACATTCTTGAGCATTTTTTAGATGTTATCGTGTGTCTTCGGATTTTCCTCTCAAGAAGATCCCAAAAATGCTCATTTGGGCTTAGATCAGGACTTTGGGGAGGTGTTCGCAGCTGATTTATGACGTTATACAGCAGCCAAAGCTTGGTATTCTGCGCCGTATGCTTCGGGTCGTTGTCTTGTTGGAACCAACATTCACTTTCGAGCCCTAATTTTTCAGCACTTTCTTTTAAATTGTTTTTTAATATGTCAATATAGATTTTCTGATCCATTATTAACTCGATAAATGCCAATTTTCCAACGCCACTTGCTGCCATACACCCCCACACCATTATTCCGCTTCCTCCTTGCTTTACTGTGCCAACCAAATTTTCTTAATTTGAGGCTTCTCCGCTTTTCCTCCATACCAAAACCTTTCCCTTGATTCCAAATATGCTGAATTTAGTTTCGTCGGGAAATATAATCTTATTCCAGAAGTCTTGGTGTTTGGAAATATACTCATTAGTAAAGGTTAGGCGCTTTTGTCTATTGTCTTCCGATATGAGAGAGTTTTTTGCGGGCGACTCTGCTATGGTAGTCAGCCTTTTTTATGGTCCGGCGTACAGTATCTTCGGAAACTCTTTTGGAAAATCTATCCTCGACCTTCAGCTTTGCCTGGTGAGCTGTCGTCCTTGGGTTGAGCTGAATAGATTTGATAATATTCCTCTGCTCGCGGTTTATAAGTAAAGGCGGACGGCCAGAACGAGCCTTTGGCAAGATACTTCCAGCCGAGTTGTAGTTACTTATCACTCTTTGGATGGATGAGTGGGTTCTAGCAACTAAAGCACCAATTTCTCTATAAGATTTTCCATCCAAAAAACCTTTTAATATTATTTTCCACTCCTCAACAGAAATTTCCTTGCCTTTTTGTTCCATGTTGCAATATGCTCGTTATTATAATGAAAGAGTTTCATTTTAACTGCGTAATGTCTATTTTTAGACATTCTAAAGTAGATCGGCGACAACAAAATTAACGGAAATCGCACAATCCTGCATTCCTCGAAGTTGAAAACTGCTGTACGCAGACTTTTGCGCGTACACTTTTTCGTAGTGTTAGGTTTAAAATTAAAAATAAAATATAACCCCCTGTTGAATATTTCTAATATTTCTACGTCAATGAAGACAATAAACCATAGTTTTGTTTAAAAAAAGAATGAATAAAATACATGCATAAATGGCCGAACAGTTAATGTTCAAAGTTAGATTTTGAAATTTTTTGGGGTGTACGCAGAGATATGCGAGTGAGTGTAGATGCTTCATGTTTAAAACGTATAGAAATTTAAAAATTCAACTTAATTCAAAATCACTCACCCCTGCATACATATAGTTTAATATTTTCAGTATCATCCTTGTGAATTATCAGTCTTTGCAATCGGTATTTGATGGTAAAACATATTTTGGTCATATTTTTATTTGGTCGTTATTTTTAACCAGGCTGAACAATTTCGACTGGAAATAATCAAAGGTTAGTGGGTTATTAACGCAAATATAAATTAGAATTATTTTTATTTAATTTATGAATTTCGAGATCACCACCGTATCGCTTTTCACAATTGCCAGCTTACAATCGATTGTTTGTGCCTTATCATCTATCAGTAGATTAAGGAAATTGACAAATTTCCAGCCATTTGCCAAACAACCGAGTATTTATTGGCTGGCATAAACTGCTGTTCCTATCGAGTTGAATCAGCAGAACACAGAGCACATAGCACAGAGCTGAGAACAGGGTATCCCAACCCTAAACACACACATCCCAATTTGACCATTCCATCAATTCCCAGCCCCGAAATTACAACCGCACTGTTTGCCCATCGAAAATCCCATCATCTTCGCATCCTTGTTAATTTTGAGGCGAGCACAAATTAATTGGCCCGACCTCTTTGGGGTCGAACTTGATGATGTGGAAGTGGATTGTGGATTGTGGATAGTCGATAGTCGATAGTCGATGGCCTCCTAACGGCCCCATTTTCCGGGGCTCCCCGTCGCCAATTTCCGCCAGTGTGTCAGGTGCTCGGCAGCTCGAGCTGCTCATCAGTCAGCCAGTCACTCACCCGGAGTCAACTCGGGCGAAAGTCAAGTCAGAAGTTGTCAGCCACTTGGCGGGGAAATGGAAATTCCTTGTTTATAATTTATGAGGCAAAAGACAAGAGACAAAGGCACACGCCAAGTGACTGCACTTGGGGATTTGGGGATTTACATGCATAAGAAATGGCCACTTGACATGTCGCCCCGGTTGCTCACCTGTTGGCATGAGAAATGGAGGCGCAACTGTGACAGGTAGTTCAAGGTAGGCTTAAAGTTGGGCGAAGGCCAAGAACAAGCAGCTGGACAAGAGACTTGGCTAAGAAATAGTCTGTCTATTTAGTCGATCCCAACGAAACAAAATAGTAGAGATACAAAAATTTGTTCGATTTAAAGCGCAGTTTAAAGAAAACTCTTGGGAATCGTCTGCTGCTCGACAGCAGAACGGAAACTCAGTTCAAATGTTTACCAGCCCTAAAAATTATGTGATGGTAATCTTAAAGGATATCCCCCAACAGACGACTGAGTTATGGGAGTGGCACTGTTTTTCCTCCCTTTGGAAGCTGTCACACCGATTACGGTCTTCAAGTGCCACACACACATCCCCTTGGCTGACTTTCTTTGTGCATCTTCGGAACACGTCATAAATATGTTGATATTAAAATAAGCCACACATGCAGACGACGGCACACTTAAAAAGGACCCACAGACATCTAGTTACTGGGGCTCACAAAAAAAGAAAAAGCCAGCAAATCCACTGGCCAAAAAATGTAAACCCTTGAATATGTAAACGCAACAAATAACAAGTTGCGAGCTGAGAAGATAATAAAACGCATGTAAATGTACGCGATGAATACATAAAATAGATGAAGCGAACGAAATGTAAATTTGGTCCGGAGAAATGGGAGATGAGGGTTAAGTGTCGAGGCCGGTGACGTCACAAAAAGAGCACTAAATAAAAGGCTTAAGTCTGTGAAAACAAAAACAAAAAACCAAAAAACGAAAGAACGAAAAGAAGGCACCCAGCAAAGGCAACCAGCTACAGTAAAACCATCTAAACAAGGAGGAACAACGGGGGATTAACATCCAAATTGCAAAACGCGAGGGACGCCTCGGAAAAAGGGGGCCACGCTCACCATATACAGTAGAGTCCGGTTATAACGACTCTATGGCTTCTTTGGTCCCCATACAAACTTATATGATACAAACTTATATGATACAAACTTATATGTTTTAGTGCGTCTTCCGGGTATAACGACGTAAAATCGTCGGTCCCATGAAAGTCGCTATAACCGGATTCTACTGTTTATGCATATGCATGAGGAGCATACCGAAAATTTCGCTTTTGCGCTTTGTTTTCCTCGCGTTTAACGATGCATTTCAAACTCGGGGTATTTCAACGTCCTAAGAAAGTTTGAAGAAATGAAAAGAAATTCGAACTGTAAATGCCATTAAATGTTTTATTGTGTTTAAACATTCCTACACCAAATGAAATTATCCGATGTTTAAATTTTATAAACGTTGTATCTACCTACCATCTATCAAGGCCCTAACTAATATACTTAATAAATGCACGTTATAGGGTATTTTAAAGGTAACCTCCTTTCATCATTTTCCCGCCATTTAGCTGTGGGGCTGTCCTTTTTGAGTATTGTAAATGCTTTAAGTTGTCCTGGCACACGTATGTGTGTGTTTCTTTTCATGTTTTTTGGATGTAACTCATGGTTGTTAGGAGCTTCAACTCTTAATTAGTTATTTTTTAAGGGCCATTTGTCTGATTACCCGAGTAGTTTGAGATAAATAAATGCTTACATTCTTTTTTGAGTCGATTTAAAAACACATTTATTTTATCATCATTATTTCATTATCTTTTTTTTATTTACTTTTTTTTTTAGCATCAAAATGAGTTTTCCATACAAATTTATACGGACTCCGGATGGGAATTTCATGGTAGTGCCCAATTATAATTTTCCTGGGCACGTCGTAGAACCTCTGAGAACCATTCTAGGGTCCATCCCAGAACCTAACAACAATGTTTCTCAGCCGCCAATACAACCTTTACCACTGGGGAAAATCGAATTTTCATCAAACCAAGAACCACAAAAACCAAATTCTCCACGAAGAAATACCGAAAAGTTATTACACCAAAAACAATCGAATCAACATTCACAACTGATAAATATGGATCAGTTATTGGCATCAGCGGAAGGGACTGCACTCAAGTCCATAGACATCACAGTCAGTAAAAATCACATTTCACATAAGCCCCAAAAGCAAGAATCGCTTTTGAAATCGCGAGCCTCAGTCGACTACTCGCAATGCTTGACTCTCGAGGAAATTCAAGAAGAGCTCCATAATCCGGTCAAGGACATTGTAATGACGTGGTCGCCAATCTGTGAGGAGATTCAGGACCTCGTCAATACCAGTTGCTCCGAGCAGGTTGTAAGTGGGGATAGCTTAACTAGGAATGACTATTAACATGATTTGTATCGATTTTATGGGTTCTTCGGTCGTTATTAATCTCGATATTTAGCTAAAAGAGCATTTGTGTAATTTTTCGATATTCACTTTGACTTCTTCAAACTCTCTAGTTAATTTTTGTGACAGTAAAGAAAATAAAATGTTAAGGGTTGTCCGATATCACATGGGTTCTGAAGTTCAGCACAATATTTGACCATATTTAGAGTTTTTTTTTTCTATTGATTCTATATCAAGTTTTAATCACGATATTTTGCTCGATTAATCTTATCGGATTTTATTTTTTCGGATATACTTTCGTACCTGATACTCTAATCGTCTTTGGGAATGGTAAGAGTATCTGGTATTTGAGTTTATCTCATTCTTTCCATTCTTGTTATTTATCTTTCTTATTTGTGTACACTTAATTTATTTAATTTATTTTCCCCATTTCATGTTTATACAGAAGTATTGCGAGGCTTTGGACAGCATTGTAAAACTACTTTGATTTGACTCAACTATAAAATAGTCATGGCTTCCATATGAAACATTGCCATCATTAAAATTAATTTCTAGTCTTAAGATGTTTTTGAATGATCTCCACGCTGTGCCAAAAAGAATTTTGAATTTGTTTTTTAGCAAGGAAATAAACTTTGTGTTCAAACCTTAGTCAGTTTCAATTCCTTTGGACATTACTTTATTATGATAAATCGAGGTAACTAAAGCTTCACTTAAAAAATAGAACCGGATACCTTAAGCATCTCACCTGATTATATTAAAATGATGACCTTTTGTAGTCAATAGTTTGAGTCATAATTTTCAAATTACAAAAGAAAATTTTTTAAACAAACAATTTATGGGCATATCTTCATAAAAAAAGTTTGCAAGTTTTGAAAATCTTAAAAACTTGGCTTAACCAAATGAAAGACCTATACACATTCATAAACAACGATAGATGGGCCATTTATTTTGAGCTTATGGTTGAAGTTGAAAAAAGTAAGCTTGCAGAAGAGTAATTTATGTGGAAATGAGGAAGGAAAGTGGCGAAGTATTTTTTTCTTTCAGGGCTCAGGGAAGAATGCACTTTCCCTGAGTTGCTCAACTTTCCGGGCGATTTTCCCCCAATTTTACGGAGCCATTACAAAGGCCAAGTTTCTGATATGGCAATCGGGCAGTGCTGCAAACTTTTTTGGGCCAAAACTTTCGTCTTTGGGGCTAATTGTTTGCGCATTTCGGAAGTCCTGCTTTGAATCAATTGAATTTCCCTCTCACTGCTTTTCCTTTGCTCGTTTTCTTTGGGGAAAAGTTCGTGAGACGAATTCTTTGGACAGTCGTGGTCAAGTGCGGTTGCAAGTCAAGCGATTCCATGGAGAAAGAGAGAGTGGCGTTTTGACCTGAGCAAAACCCTCAAGTCGTATGCAAATGTCACAAACAGACAAATGTAAATGCGGGCTGTGTACTTCTGCCCTGTGACTAACGGACTAAACAAAGAAACCAACTCAAGCACACCAACAAGGAAGTACCACGTCGTCAGAAACGACTATTTGGAGAAATGTAGCAAAGTTTTAAATTCTTAAAACAAAATTTGGAGGACATTTCAGGATATACACTAAAAACGACCATGTAAAGCAGAAATAGAAAGCAAATAGAATTTTTCTAAAAATTAATTTAGATTTCAAAAATCCAAGACTAACTATATTCATATTAAAGTTTGACTTTTGAAAAGAAATCTAAAAAAATTTAAAAAAACTGTTGAAAAAATAACAATGTTTCAAAACATTTATTTTAAAAATAAAAACAAAATGAAAGTAATTAGGATTTAGACAAAAACACAAACCTAAATTAAGACCATTTTAAATAACCTTATAAAAATTGACTTTAAAAAATGATTAATAAGGAATATATTTGGATACATGTATTCAAATAAAAATTTTTGTTTTGTCGTTCAGTAAAGAGTGACTCTGGAAAGTATGCTACGTTTTGTGCACTCATTCTGAGTTAATGGGTCCTGCTAGAGCGAAATGGCGAAAGGGGCTGTCCTGTGGGCCAGAAAGGGAGCACAAACGAGTGGACCGCAACGCGCCACTTGATTATCATGCATATTCATTCATGGCACTTTAGTTGGTCTTTTTGCACATGTGGCAAGCGGCAGGCGGCATGCGGCATGTGGCATATAAATTATGTAAGAAGCGAGGCAAAAGCCAAAGTCGGATGAAAGGCGGAGAAAGGTAAGCCAACGGACGGGATAAGCGAGAAAGTCGGCACTTTCCGATCAAATGGAAATTTTGGCCATTAAAAACAAAGCCATTAAATGCTTTAAAACTAATTTGGAAACTCATCGTTTTCTGCTTTTCGCTAAACCACGTATTGTTCACATTTAACACGAAGTCTATAGGTGTATCGATATTTTAATGAAACATTTGTCTGATTCGTCTGATACTTTCAATACACATCCCTAAAGCATCCTGCGATGCCTGCCCTCACATATATCGTCCTTTGAATTGTTTGTTCTTGACTGTGCCTTTGATTTTTTTTGGGCTGTTTGCGTTGTTAAATTTTTTTATTGCCAACCAAATATTTACGTGCGGAAGAAGTGAAGGAAAACGAAAAGGAAAGAAAGGAAAATGAAGAGGAAAAGAGCGCGGGGACTTTTCTTTGTTTTGTTTTATTTTGTTCACTTTTGTTTGATTTATGCGTAAACTTTTTTGTTGCCGCCTTTATGTACGAATTGTGTTTCGTGTGCCACCGTTTGACACACTCAACAAAAAAAGCACAATGCCCCCTGCATGCCATTCATTGGCATGCAAATATAACACGGGGCGTATGCGTATTTTGCACAAGGACCAAAAATTGCAGAGCGAGAGTTTCGGAGATTGGCAAAAATGTTATTTACTTTTTTGTGCCTTGCTCGTCTTAATTGATTGCATGGGGGCGTTGTAATCGAGTTACAGAGACTGCGGCCACACGGCCATTACCACCCATCTGCCTCCCCCTCCCCCTATCCCATCCCCCCTCAACCCAATGCCCCTCCTCATTTCCCGCAGCCAGCAATTCAAATTAAACAATAAAATGCGCGCCAGCCACATTTTGCGGTTTCTGTTTTTCGCTTTGGACAAGTGATTAAATGTTTGCCACATGATGGTCGATTTTCGGATTTTCCCAACTTCAGTGGCTTAAAAGATGCCGAGATACTTTGGTGTTCTATTATTTAATTCAATTATTCAGGAGTTTAGAACTTAAATGTTTGGTTTAAAGTGTATTTAACTTTAAATTTAAATACGTTTCCCTTATATTTTCTATTATTTTTTGCTTGGCTATAAAACACTCTTTTCTTCGATTACCAAAAACTGAGATGAGGTCATGAAGTCTATTAAAAACTGTAGCCATAACATTTTTTTATTTATTAAGTTTCTTTTAAAAAGTGTGGAAAAGCGGTGAAAGTTAGAGGGGCTTAAAGTTTTCTCCGCATTTATTTTATGACAGAGCAACGAAACAACCAGAAATGAGATGTAGGTTTTTCCACAGAATAGTAGCCCATGTCTTGGGTTTATCAAGGTTCTGCCAAGTTTAACTTCGACTCGGAAAGTGGGAAAATTGGAACGACTCCAAGGACGATAAACCGCTGACATGGAACAAACTAGGGGGGTGGTAATTATGTTCATGCTAAGGTATCATCGTCTTGTATGCAAATGCTTCAGCCAGTTTTCAGACCTTCTATTGCAATTTTCCCGCCATTGTTCCATGGGCCATCATTCGTTTTAATAGACAAGTTAACGTTAAATGTTAATTAAATGTGCGTACGTGTGCAACTCGAAGGATTTGCCCAGGATGAAGGATCAGTCTGCCAAGGGACTGCAATTTAAATGTGAAAATGCTGGCAGTGTGCTGTCAGATGTCCTTGGCACTTCCTTTTTGGGGCATTTTCATTGCGGTTTTCACCCGCATGTGGCTTCGTCCTGGTCGTCTTATGCAGGCCACATCCTTCCTGGCCAGACCACATACCATCTGTGCATCCTCGAAATGAAAAAAATATGCTAAAAAAATTACCCACACCCACACAGAAAGACCGGCCATCGAAATGCAATTTTAATGCGGGAAGGAGCAGAGAGAAATGCCTACAAAGAGGACTTCCCAGCTGTCCAGCGATGTCCTCTTGTGGCCACGGCGATAATCGGATTTTCCCCTTTCTCACCCCCGCCATTAAGCGCACTTGTCGCTCATGGTCTTATTTTCCGAGCTGGTGGAATTATTTCCACTTTATAAAAAAAGCTAACACAAAATGAGGCAAAATAATATAATTGAAGACTAACATTTAAAATAGACGCCCCTTAAAATATTGCGAGTTAAGGGCAGTCTCTTCATGTACGTTATTTAACTGATTACTCTCGTTCAGAATTCGCTGCTGCGAGATCTGGGCTGGGTTCTGACACTTATGACTCATGGATAGCTCGATTCAAGTTTTTCCAAACTGTAAATATTTTTTTTATGGGAGTGGCTTGGAAAAGAATTTCCGTAAGGTTTCCAAAATGCAACGCTTCTTGGGTTATAATTTTGTTGCTATTAAAAAAAAGAAGATGTCTTGGGAAACTTAAAATTTGTGGGTGCAAATATAAATTACATTTTACCAACCGATCGTTTAAACCCAATGCAATACTTTACAAATGTTTTTACCACATAATAGTTAACAGATATCCAATATTTTCTAATTGCTTTTTAACTTAAGAGAAACGGCGTTTCGTTTTTGGCTCAGGAAATACATTAAAATTACCCCAATTAGAACGCATGGAACTTTAAATTGATCTCGTTTAATTGTTCTGCATTTTCCGGAACATTAAATGAAAATCCTATTAGTCTCTGAAATTACTTTAATGTTTTTTTTCTGGGAAGTCTGTACCAAGAGTGAAGTTGAATTGTGAGGAAATATTCAGAAGACGTCTGCAAAGGGTCTCTCAACACTTTCGAGCTGCCACTCAGGGGTCGCATAACGACGTGGACACTGAGCACATAATGCGGGGTCACAAATCACGTGCCAGGGATTGAGTGGTGCACAGGAAAAAATGTATACGGTATTATGAATACAAATTAATATAAAATAATATGAGTTGGCTTGCTAAAATGCTATTTAACAACCATTTAAAACCGGACACAAGTGTGATTTTGGGAGGTCTCGGTCTCGTCCCTGTCTGAAAATCTTCAAATCTCAGCCAGATCCCGAGAGCGATGATAATATTTTCCTGCCGCCAGACCTTCATTATTGTTCCAAGTGCACGGAAACGGATGTGGAAGCAATACGCCCACACAGAGAAAGTCAGGTGGCATTGAATTTAAGCTGGCAAGCTGGCAGGCTGGCCAGAATTCGTCAAGATCTCGTATCTCATTAACTGGGTCATGGAGCACCACATTTATGGCCTCGTCTTCGCCTCCGCCGCCCAAAAGGCCAAAACTTCGGGATATTAAGTGTGAAGGCGGTCTGCGGCGTGAAAACTTTTTCAATTATGTATAACCGCTTTCGCCAAATAATGCCAAAGAAATAAAAGACTTCCTTTTCGGGTGCGCAACTTGTAAAACCCTTTAATCAGTTAGTCCTATGCAGGCCACAACTTTGACCGAATCCACTTTTAGGACCATCGGACCTTCGCGAAACTCCACATCCTTTAGGATCAAGGTCCACACATTGTCACAGTGTCTGTAGTTCATCAATTTGTCGGCCCTGAAGTTAACCTTGGCCGTAACTCGCTTGCTCAGAGCTTCATTAATAGACTCGTCGTATTTGATCAAAACCGTATCGGCCAAATCAGGGTTTATATGGCCGCACTGAAATACATATAGTTAGCTCTCTCAGTAATGATTATCCTGCTTAATTATACAGATAAAATCACTTGCCATTATTAACTCATTCAAAGTCTCCCGAAGCATAATCCCCAACGTTGTTGCCCGATAGTGTTTGTAGCTCATGATGAAATTATAGATAAATCAGAAGTAGTCTTGCAAAAAGTACGCAGGCGCAGCAGCTTTTCCAAAAAGAATGAGATTTTTGCTAGTCATTCACTGTCATTTTTGACATTTAAAGCCAGACGTCTTGTTAAAATTGGCTGTTAGTAAGTCTGTAAACCTAACAGGTTATATCGATAGCCTTACACTTATTTATCGTAATTTTCGAAATTGACATTTACAATAAGTTTTGCTCGTCGTAATCCTTAAATGGAGGCCCCACGCACAAACCGTTTTCTTTATGGCCTTTTGTCTATTATGGTTTTATTTCCCGGCTCAGTCCGTTTATTTTTCCGGAACGCTGACAGCAATTGATGCAATTGTTGTTCACGTCACACCTTTGGCGCCAAATGCTGGCATGAATGTGTGCCAATCAAATGGAGTACTAGACTGATTATACCATTCAGTTAGCTTCGCTGGGGGACTGCACACATGAAAAACAGTTCGATAACAATTTTATATTTGCAGAATAAACATATTATTTGTGTGGAATATATACGTTTTTCACTCCTGATTCGTTGGGATTTTGAACTTAATAAATAAAGAGTCGTAGCATATCCCAAAATAAGGAGCTTATAATATTATGGCCAAAGTCAGAGCACACTTATAGTGTTTTTCAGATTTCTTAGTTAAGAAAATATAATTTTTAAATCACAATCTTGTATGTATATTTCAAATTTAAAATTCTTGAAAATATATTTTTGTTTGCATTTTATACATACAATGAAATCCTAAGTATTTTTTTATGTGTGGGGGCGGTCACGTTGTCTCGTTGGTAGCGAAATTTCAGGACGTGTCTGCTCTGCCAATTGCTTTCAATTTTTAATTGTATAATTAACATGTGGTCCCCGCTCTCCCCTCTATTTTCAAGGATCCGTTCGATTTGAAATTTTCACATTCTGTGAACCCAAAGCGGTTGCGAGCGGAAAAGAGAAGGACCTTTGCAGGAGGAGCAGGAGGATTCTTTGCTGCAGATCCGCTGAAGCGGGAGGAAGGCCGCCACGTTGGAAGGAAAACGGCTATTTACGGCAGTTAATAAATTTTTAACTGGTTCAACAATTGCCCGCGAGTTCCGCCAACTAATGGTGAGTGTGTTTTTATACCCTTTCAAAAGGTTATTATTACATTCAGTCACTATTTTATTTGTTTAAAGTATTCCCACACTGTGGTTAAACTGCTTTTGGTTTTGCATATAAAACCAACCCATAAACAAATATGTTAAATACAGCAATGATTATGTATGTATGTGCAGCATAGGATACAAAATTAAACTAAATAAAAGATAATCGATTTTTTATTTGTCACACTTTGTGTTCATTTTTTAAATGCATTCGCCTATACATATTTTAAGTATTAATTACAATGTTGTTCAAATGTAAGGATGTAAGATTATTCAAATTCGAATTTACTTTAAACTTAATAAAAATGTAATTGCTTCTCTTTTTTTATTTGTTTATTTAATATTCTAATTCTGATTCCATTTATAATTTATTTATGTTTTCTTTTCTAGACAAGAAACGCGGCAGTAAGTGGCGATGAACCCGACGAGGAGCAGACCTCAACAGTTGGCGCCGAAGGGGAGGATCAGGAGAATCAGGATGAGAATCAGACGGTTCAGGATGCAGGGCAGCCGGGAGCTGATGGCCACCCCCTCAGCAGCGAGCAGCAACCATCGACACAGCAGCGGCATCAAAGAGCTCGAAAAAAGGATAAGCAACCACAACGCAGTGCTGCCATTCCCCATCCGGAACAGGCTGTTTCGGATGTGGACACGGATTCCAGCTCGTGCGAGGGCATCAAAGTGGGCGAGCGGAGGAGCACGCGGGTAAGTTACGCACAGAGGAATCTCCAGGAGGAGGAGGAACTGGATGAGTACGACTACAACGAAGAGGAGGAGGACGGCGAGGAGGAGGACGAGGAGGAGGAGGAGGAGTCCTACGACGACTACGAACAGTCCATGAAGCCAGGAGGACGTTGTCCCCCACCGCGGACCTCCTCGAGTGTCCGTAGCAGACGCAAGACGAAAACCCGTCAAATATCCTATCCCTCCTCGGATTTGGGGTTGGGCATTGGCGAAGGGCAGAACCTGATCGAAGGCGAATCCCTGGACAAACGCCGCTGCATCTCCAAGGGACAAATGAGGGAATTTCGAGAAGCCTTTCGACTCTTCGACAAGGATGGCGATGGCTGCATCACCAAGGAGGAGCTGGGCACTGTGATGAGATCGTTGGGGCAATTTGCCAGAGTGGAGGAGCTGCAGGAGATGCTGCAAGAGATCGACGTTGATGGTGAGTAGCGGGATTGGCGGGATTGAAAACTATGACCATTTAAGTCAATCAATGCGTATAGAACTTCCAGTCAACTTTGTGCTAAACTAGAGAACAATTACCACTTAGGTGGAAGGAGGTCCCCTTAATTTATGCCAATACAACAGTATCTAGTTATGATTTTGAATTGTTTTAGTTATTATTCCATGTCCAATTGCCTGTTCCTTCCAGGCGATGGCAATGTCAGCTTTGAGGAGTTCGTGGACATCCTGTCGAACATGACGTATGAGGACAAGTCGGGGCTTTCCTCTGCAGATCAGGAGGAACGCGAATTACGCGATGCCTTTCGCGTTTTTGATAAACACAATCGGGGATATATTACGGCCTCCGATTTGCGAGCGGTGCTGCAGTGCCTTGGCGAAGATCTCGACGAGGAGGACAGTAAGTTGCCTTAGCTGTTGGGCATATAGACACCCCTAGTATCCCCTAATCCTATTTCACACCCAGTTGAGGACATGATCAAGGAGGTGGATGTGGATGGCGATGGACGCATCGATTTCTACGAGTTTGTTCACGCCTTGGGGGAACCAGAGGACTCGCAGGAAAACGATGACGAGGAGGAGAATACCACATCGCCGCTGCCCACACCGAAATCGGTAATTTCTCTCAGTTACGACTAATCGATTTTCGTTAAATTGGCGATTATCGTTAACATGTCCACACTGATCGATTATCTACAGACGAATATTCAAGTTAAAATAACATAATAAAATCGATACTCGAGCCGTGTTTTTCAACCTGCAATAATATGAACCCCTAACGATGTTCATCAATAATCGAACGCCAGAGGCTCGGGAGGTATCGCTTATTACTTATCAAAGGTTAAAGAAGTAACATATTTTTTTCAACTACTAAGCCATAGTTAGCTCAAAATGTCTTACATTTAAATTAAAAAACGCACAGCTAATTAAATTAAAAACGATTATTAAATATGTAAAGCCTATTAAATAATCGAATATCAAATAACTTTATCAATAAACGATTTACTTTACTTCGATATGTATAAGGAAACTAAATCCAACTTTGGAATCACAATCTCTCTACTTTTCCACTTAAATGCAATTGGAAATCAAAACGTCTTTGAGCTTTTATTGTAATCGATAAAGATAACCTGCAACATCTACTATATCCATGAGTTTAACAACTCATATATATATACATATTTCAACACATATCATTAAATACGCCTCTGTAAATGTGTTTTGTAAGCCCACTGATCCCAATCTTATAAATATATACCCATAAATCCCTAGACCTCTCCCACCCCTTCTTAATTTCCTCTTCTGTTCTTTCAATTTTAGACTATCATCGTGTAATATGAATAAATTGATTTAATTAGGAAATATTTGCTCAATTATTGCTGCTGCCGCAGAGCACCCAAAAATTAAGAAACTAATGCTCGCAAATACGAAAATTCTTAATTATTGAACGAACAATTTAATGTCATTTATTATTAAAAATTTTAATCCAATATTAGAATCAAAACTCCTTTAAAAACAAAATTATAAATAAAAAATATAAAAAATAATAAACGAATATTTAATAATGAGAAAGTCTTTTAATATACTCTTTAGAAATTCAACAAATGTTGAAGGAATTTTGAAGGAAAACGAAGGTAACAAAATGTGATTAAAATGAAGGTCTGGTTTCCAAAAATTTGGAATTTACTTTTTGGCTTATCAATTTGGCTTTCCCTTATGAATATTGGCACCGGCACAGGGTTTCACCGTTTTCCCAATTTCGTTTAAACAGTTTAGAAAATTAAATCACCATATTAGCTGTGTTGTTGGTCCTGGCAACCAAAGGGCTTTCTCTCCCGCTCGTTTCCTTCTAAAAATGTCAGCTTTTATGTAGGACTACACTTTTGTTGACATCCCCGATTGCCAACGAGCACAAATATTGGAATGGGACCCAAACCCAGGGGGAATGACTGAACTGAACAGATTGCGGTCCAGCTGCGGCTCGTTTCCGGGATGGCCCACTTGACCAGCAAGCCACCATTCCCCACATCGAATCCCCTCAATTGTCAACAATGTTCATGTAAAAAAAAATATTTATAAACTATCAAAATAAGATACGATTTTCTATTTATTTTATGGCAGAGTTTTATACACCAAATATAATATACTGTTTTCCCTTTTTATTTATTTTTTTCATTTTTAAAATGCATTGTTTTGTTTTTTTTTGTCTTGGTGTATTTGTGAAAGCTACGCAGACAAAAGTTACGTTAATGGTCAAGTGCTTAAGTGCTTGGCCAGCAAAATTATGATGCCATCCCTGAGGACACATCCCTTAGACCCCCCCTCCCCCCACTCACATATGTTTGGATAGGCATCGGGAGTTTGGTTTGCTGTGCGTATATGTAATGTTTTTGTTAACGCTTTGTCACGGCCCCATGATGAGTGGAGTCCAGCGGTTGGAGGCGGTGGAGAGCATGGAAAACCCTATGCTAATGCCATGGCCATTAGCAGGGCTGTCGACATTACAACCCCCTGCTGTCTGGCTTCCAACAAATTGAAATACACATAATTGTAGTCGGGCGCAATGACATCGCAATTGACAACGACTAAATCGATGTTTCAAGTGGTTGTCAGACCCCCATTATCCACTGTCCACTCACCTGACTCTCAGTTTTCCGCACAATCGAGAGGATAAGTAGCTCAATGAGTAAAGTTCATTCTGTTTAGCTTGCCATCCTGTACTTGAAGGGTCGAATAATGGAAGGTTGAGCAGGTAATCATGTTTCTTTGGCTTCAACATATTCCTATAAGAACAAACATAATCTAATCATAAATTCGTGTTCTTGATGAGTTTCTTAGTCTAAAAACTACTATTAAAAACTAATTTTAAAATAAATTTTAAGCGTTAACTACGCAGTATTATATACCTTCAATAAAACTTGGGTAAAGTGGTAAAGATAAATTAAACGCACTGTGAATGTACAATAGAACAATGGCAAGGTAATTTAACGTCGACATTTACCATCGCCTCTCTCCACTTGGCAATTATAAGCAATTAAATTCTGGTTGACTGATTAGCAGTAGATAACAATGGCCTTGAGGGGCGGTGCAAACGGGCTACTTAATCAGTTAAAAAGCAAGTGGAAAAGGAAAAGTGTCTCCGATGCCATTTTAGCTTCCAGGGAGATCTCTCGTCATTATTTCAAATTAATTTTAATACGGCGCCTTGATTGATTGACAGTATGAAAAATATATAAATAAACAATAAACTGAAGAACGCCATTCATTGCTGGAGGGGATCGCTGAGCTCCCCCTCCTTGTCGCGGACCCACTCCTGCTGTTCCAAGGCCAATTCCTGCTGCTTCTTTATTAGTTTGTTGCGCAAAAGGGTCTCCAGTTGAACGCAGAACTCCGACTTGGCGATGCCCGTGTCCAGATAGACTTCCTGTTTGTCATTCCTCATGCCCCTGCGTCCACGTCCCACCTGAATGTTGTGGCTACCAAAGGAGGATCCCCCGGCCATCGAGGTTTCCGATGGCGAACGGCGCTTGTTGCGAATGAAACTGTATCCCGGTAGCCAGCGGCGGAGAAGGCGGTCCAAACGGGCCACGAATCCCATCTTGGAGCCGTCGCCAAGGATCTGTCCCTCCATGCTCAAGCTTTTGTATTTTTCGGGCTTTTCCTTTGCACTAGATTACTGGGGAAACAGCGTTTGTCAAAGTGCTAAACGTTTCAATGTCCGGATAGAGTTAGGGTTGCCTGCTTGGATCACAATTCTCGAATAATATTGATGATTAAAACCACAAAGTTCTAATTTTTTTGAATTTTGTTTTCCGATTGTTCCTATTTAGCTTTTACCTCAATCATATTATTTTGATAGTGTATTCTATAAAACCTCATTTTTAAACTGTTCATAATACCATATACATTTTTTCCTGTGCACCACTCAATCCCTGGCACGTGATTTGTGACCCCGCATTATGTGCTCAGTGTCCACGTCGTTATGCGACCCCTGAGTGGCAGCTCGAAAGTGTTGAGAGACCCTTTGCAGACGTCTTCTGAATATTTCCTCACAATTCAACTTCACTCTTGGTACAGAGTTTCCCGAAAAAAAAACATTAAAGTAAATTCAGAGACTGAGAGGATTTTCATTTAATGTTCCGGAAAATGCAGAACAATTAAACGAGATCAATTTAAAGTTCCATGCGTTCTAATTGGGGTAATTTTAATGTTTTTCCTGAGTCAAAAACAAAACGCCATTTCTTTTAAGTCTTTAAAGGGTTTCAGAGTTTTTTTAATTTTTTAAATTTTTTGGTCTTGCTAAACAAAATAATGAAAAGTAAGTATATGGCTATCGATATAACCTGTTAGGTTTACAGACTTACTAACAGCAAATTTTAACAAGATGTCTGGTTTGTAGGGGCCTTTTTTAATGTCAAAAGGAGAATGACTAGCAAAAATCTCATTCTTTTTGGAAAAGCTGCTGCGCCTGCGTACTTTTTGCAAGACAACTTCTGATTTATTTATTCGCCAAAGGCTTTAATTTCATCATGAGCTACAAACACTATCGGGCAACAACGTTGGGGATTATGCTTCGGGAGACTTTGAATGAGTTAATAATGGTAAGTGATTTTATCTGTATATTTAAGCAGGATAATCATTACTGAGAGAGTTAACTTATATATATTTCAGTGCGGCCATATAAACCCTGATTTGGCCGACACGGTTTTGATCAAATACGACGAGTCTATTAATGAAGCTCTGAGCAAGCGAGTTACGGCCAAGGTTAACTTCAGGGCCGACAAATTGATGAACTACAGACACTGTGACAATGTGTGGACCTTGATCCTAAAGGATGTGGAGTTTCGCGAAGGTCCGATGGTCCTAAAAGTGGATTCGGTCAAAGTTGTGGCCTGCATAGGACTAACTGATTAAAGGGTTTTACAAGTTGCCCACCCGAAAAGAAAGTCTTTTATTTCTTTGGCATTATTTGGCGAAAGCGGTTACACATAATTGAAAAAGTTTTCACGCCGCAGACCGCCTTCACACTTAATATCCCGAAGTTTTGGCCTTTTGGGCGGCGGAGGCGAAGACGAGGCCATAAATGTGGTGCTCCATGACCCAGTTAATGAGATACGAGATCTTGACGAATTCTGGCCAGCCTGCCAGCTTGCCAGCTTAAATTCAATGCCACCTGACTTTCTCTGTGTGGGCGTATTGCTTCCACATCCGTTTCCGTGCACTTGGAACAATAATGAAGGTCTGGCGGCAGGAAAATATTATCATCGCTCTCGGGATCTGGCTGAGATTTGAAGATTTTCAGACAGGGACGAGACCGAGACCTCTTCAAGCCGGAAGTTCATTCCACTCAAGGTCGTTAGCGCTTTAGTGTTTAAAGGGGAGGATTTTCCCCAATGGCACTTAATTGGGGCAGTGAGCGAAGCCACAAAGCATACAATGCGGGGCTCAATCATCGAAAATTGGCGGATGCATAATTGCTTGCGGTGTGAGATTAGATTAGAGGTCAGGTCAAAAGGTCAGCAACCATTTAACGCAGCAATTAACTCCTGAAAGAAAAGTTGACTTTATCCCATATACACAAAGCATATTACAGCTTTAATTTAAATTCACAAGCTAAAAAGAGCCTGGTTAAAGAGTAAAAGCTTTAGTAAATACTTTTTCAAGGCTTACAACCAATTTGGTTCAATAAAAGGATAATTTTTAAAAAGCTCATCTGACTGTGAGAAAGCTCTGAAAGCTATTTCTAAGGATATTTCAGTCCAGTTAAAAATTTTGTTTGTTATAAAATTTGTTAAAAATAAAATTACAAATACATTCAAACTAAACTGTTATTTTTAGTTTATTAAAAAAACCGCCAATAGAAAAAAAAACGTTGCTTATCTTCTTTTTCATTTTTGAGAATAACGGGTTATATTTAGGATCCTTTAATATATAAAGCTGCTCATTTGGTCACTTTTTGACTGTAAATAAAAAAGACTTGCATTTATTTAATGGCACCGAATATTTTTGGTATTTTATCCATAACATTTAGAACACGCCAGCTTTTCCAAAAAGATGAGGGAATAAGGACTAGAACATAAATTTAATAATGGTAAATAATAGGCTTTTCGGGCAAAATATCCTTACACGATTATACCGTAGAAGTAACTTTACTATAAATATAAGAGATTTAAATTCAGTTTATGGGAAATATGACCTAACAATAATCAAACAATGGTAATTTGCCAAGATAGTACGTATTGATCTAAAACCCGTTTAACTATAAATTGCTATAAATTTCTTGAATTAAACTTTTTTGGTTTGAAAAACTTTGAATTTCTACACAACTGCAACTTAACTTAACATCCTTTAGGGTCACAAAAATAAATTCTATAGTCTACATGATTGTCAACTAATTTAATGTATAGAGATAACTCTACTTTAAAAATACACAAACTTGTATTTTACTTAAAATGTATAAGAAAGTGATCTAAAATCTTAATAAAAGAAATTTAATACCCACTCATTCGTTTTAATATTTTTCAAAGCGTTATATCGGAAATATCACACACTAAAATCGAAAACAAAATATGCAGTTGTAGTTCAACCAGTCTATATCAAATCATTTGCCAGTTTGCTAATTTGTAAACCGTAGTATTAGTACAGCATAATATTTTAGCAATACGGCGTTAAGCAAAGTTCTCTAAGTGGTCAGCCAGAACTTACCATTATTTCCCTTTATTTCCCCCCCTTTTGTCCTAAGAATGAGGGGAAATTTTTTAGAAGCACTCAGACTTAAAGTGAGTGAGACTTGCCCGATGAGTGAAACTCATTTTGGATCTTAATAACTCAATCGCAATGAGTACAACGCAGTTATACTCAAAAAAAAGTTTAGCTTAGTTGGTGATGCCGGTAAGCATTGTTTCCCCTTGCTTTCGCTTCTTCAAAAAAGGGGCAATCAAAACGCAGCTGAAGGCAGTCTAAAAACAACTCAAGGACTTGGCAGCACTCAAGACTTGGACATGGATGGATAGTCCTTGCGAGGGTCCTGCCTGCGATCAAAAGGCGCTCTGCTGGCCCACTTCTGCTGGACCTGACAAGGTCCTCAATTCGGTCGACTGGCTGGAAAATTTTGCCGGCATCCGGCCAAATCGAAGACCGCAACTCGCGAGGAAATGAATTTTCAGCCAGAAAGTCCCAGAAGTCGACCACAGGCGAGACGATAGACGAGATAGACTAAAAAGAACCAGAAGTATAACTAAGTCCCAGTCGAAGCCGGAAAAGCCAATTAATTTGACAGCGGCCTCTATAAACGGGCCACCGAAAAGTGCACTCAAGTGGAACGGCGTGCCCGCAGAGGTTTTCCACCTGTCACGTATCCCGCATACCACAAAAGTGGGCGGACATTGAACCTGAAGGAGCCCAAGAGTCCAGGACTCCATGCGTCCATGAGTCCATGAGCCCAAGGCCTAGACGCAGTCCCTCGCCCACTCAACCATTCCTTCCAAGTCCATCTGTCGCCGGAATGCCGTTGAAAGAGCCCCCGGGAAACGGAATTGCAGAGGGAGAAAATAACTATAAAATAAATAAATATAACTACTGGAATAAGGTCCGATGCCAAGTAAAACTAGGCAAAAACCCCATGAAAAGGAAAGTAATACTATGTTTAAGTGGGTTACTACAATAACATTTCTTGTTGAAATTTTTCTAAAAACCATTTATTTGAAATTAAAATATGTAAGCTAAAAAAGTACGCTTTTGTGACTAATGTATTTTTCTACCAGTCTTAAATAAAAAGTGTCTGATGGGAAAAATCAGTAGTTTTTTTTTCGGATGTTATTTAAAACCAAACTAGTAAAGACTCAACTATTTTTTATTGGCCAAAGAATGGAAATGGTTGCGAAACTGGACAAACTGACATCCATGGCTGTATACACACAGTAATTGCGCATAATTTGTGCCCTAATTATGAGTTAAGCTACCAATAAATAGTTGACATGGCAATTGACTGATTTAGCACAAATCAAATTAGCCACATTTTTGACAAGAGCATTTTTTGGTCAGGTACACTTTCGGCGAAAAATAAACCATAATTAAAGCAATGGAATTTGATGAAATTCCACGACCGATGACTTTTACAAAGAGCAATGCAACGGAACCGCTAAGTTTGATTTTTGAAGTGTAGTTGAGTGACCGGGTGGGTCGAGAAGGGGCATTTTGTTGGCACCGCAGGAACGTGAACTTTGTGCCGTGCCGCTTCATTTGTACCACAAAAGCAGTAAGATGACTAAATTAATGAGATTTCCTAGTTAGCAAAGTTGGCTCTGGCTCGGGGTCACCGTTTGAGGTCACCTTTCAAGACGATCTTAGCAGCTGCAAAGTGCCAAGCACTTTAACTGTTTACTTTGTGGTTGGCGAATCAGTGTTGAGCTTGACGAAACTTAATGGTTTGTAAAATATTTACGCTTTGGGTCACCATTTGGGAGGGTCACCATTCGGAACTTGCTAGGGGATCTTTTTCACTGTTAAGAGCACTTATATATTGTTGTATTTCAGGTTATCCTTAACGAATTCTATTGCTTTAACATCATTTAATCAAAAACTGAAAACCTTCTGCTTTTACCAAATCATTTCTTAGTTGACACCCTTCCTCTCACCTTCTGCAGACCCATTTTCCCAAATGCCTTTATCCACAATTGATCTTTTGTAAAACGACTTATCCCCCTTTTCCGCAAACTTTTAAGGAAGAGGGTGGTTAAGTGGTTCCAACGGTCATCAAATACAATCTAATAAGCGAATCGCAGCCCGCGGCGACGCAACTTTAAAGTCATTGCAGTTTATCACTTGCCAGGCGCTAAACTGCAAGACTCGGGGCAAAACTTTTGCTTTGCCATCATAAATCAGCGAGTTGGCTTTCCGTTCGCCGGCTGCCCAACCCAAAAACCCCACGAACCCCCTTTTTAAGACCCCTTTCCAGAAGATGCGTTCGCTTCATTTCGACTTATCATTGCGGCAAACTTATGCACTAAAAACGCACTCCTTTTCGGGTGGGGTAAACTATCCCAATTTTATGGCTTTTCATTTTTTTACCCACTCCACCAGCATTTTTGGGGTCATGACTATCAAAAATATTGTCGTTTTCGGTTCGGCTTGCTTTCTCTACCAGCAGATAAATCACGTAGTACTTCCCCACCTACTTTGCCATCTATATCTGACTCAGTCTGTGAATGCAAAAACAGGCGATAGAAAAAATTCAGGTGGTAGCCCTTAAAAGTACGTAACAAAGGTATTGATGTTGAAAAGTGGTTGACCATTACATTTTTGGCGGATTTATATTAAGCTAGTGGTTTAATAAAAACTTTAACAATTTATTAATAGCGACACAAAAACTGGGAATTGCAATTTTTGCATAATTTTTGCTGTGCATTTTTGAGTGAAGACTTTTTTTTTGGGGGGGAGACCACGGGTAATAAAAATGCCATGCGCGTATCTCCGAACCTTTCGAGACGCGTCACAAAAGATATATAAAAACATCAAGCGGACAAAAGGCGAATGAACATGGACGTGCGTTTGAGGGGTGCTACAATGGCAGGGGCTATAGCAAACAGCCATTTCAATTATTTATTGGAATTTTTACCTACTGACAGCAAACAGAGAAAACAGAACAGAAAACAAAGCCAAAAAGCAGAACGGCCAGAGCCCCCCGAAAAAAAAGTGAACAAACATTGGCGAGGTTTGTAGAAGGGCGAAAGGATACAACGGAGGAATACCAACAGCATTCAGAACATACACAAACAGACACGGGCAGACAAAATTGTTAAATATATGTAAGCAGCAATAAAGAGCAACGGGAATGGAGGAAGAAACAGGGGTGTGGTGGGAGGGGGGCAATGGGTGGGGGGGTTGTATTGAAAAGTGTGGCAAAAAGAGCGGGA